TTTATCAATATTGTTATTTAAACATGTTGTAAGGTTCCTGTCAATACAATAATCAAATATTCCCAAATTTTGATCATATATGGATTATTACCCATATTGTTTTGTTGTTGGTGATTAACGTGGAACGAAACCCATCAGAAGGGTTCGGATTCCACCATCATCTTTGAACTTTGGTGTTAAATTTTCCTGGGTATAGAGTGTCAAAAAAAAAACCCTAATGCTACCTCATGTTCTTTCTTTGCAAACCAGAATATTTGATTGTGTGGTTAAAATCCAAGATTTCAAGGAGTTTAAGAGATTACAAAGACTAGAAGATATGTTGCTTGAGTGTTCCATTTGAAATGGAAAACTAAATTAAGAACCTTCCAAGTGTACTGTGTTAACAGATGGGGAAGGAACGAAGAAGGAGGGTAAGAGCTATGGTACTACCGTCTCAAAAATAATTTAGACCATTAATTTTAATTTGAGTCCGATACAAAGCAAACTTAAAACTCAAATTCCCAATAAATGGACCCCAATAATAACAAGAGTATATACCCTGTTCAAAAGAGACATAATACCATATTCAAAACACGCACACATACGCCCCACTCTGTCCTGTTTGAATATTTAATAAAAAATTATATTTAAACCTTCTAAAGTTTGTCACTTAATCACTCAGATTCCTTAATATTTAAAATATTACACACAGACTCTTTAAGGTTTATACGTGCATAACACTTATATTGTTATAAATATATGTTAATAAATTATACTTATACCCCTAAAGTTTATGTGTATATAATACTTAGACCCTTTAAGTCTAAAATATTATATTTAGACCAAAAATATTCCAATCAAATATTAAATATTAAATATTTTAAATTTTACAACCAAAATTCATGTTCTATTATATCATTTATTAAAATAAAATCAAAAATAAAAATTCATTTTTTTCTTACAAAATTGTAATTAGTATACAATTATGTTATCTATTAGAATTTAATTTAGTCGTTTAAAATACCAAATTAAAATATCAAACTATCTCAATTAAATCTAAAAGATATTGTGTTCATTACAATTTGATTCTTTGTTTAATTTTTTAGTTTGTTCTTATAGACAATATAAATATATACTATGTTTTTTTTAAAAAAAATAAATTTTTATTTTTGATTTTATTTCAATAAATGACATAATAGAACATGAATTTTGGATGTAAAATTCATATTTTATTATGAATGACTTAGACCCATTATTTGTTTTTTTTTAGTTTTATTCCAATAGATAGTATAATTATATACTAATTATGATTTTTTTTTTAAAAATTAATTTTTTATTTTTATTTTTATTTCAATAAATGACATAATAGAACATGAATTTTGGATGTAAAATTCATGTTTTATTATGAATGACTTAGACCCATTATTTGATTTTTTTTAGTTTTATTCCAATAGATAGTATAATTATATACTAATTATGATTTTTTTTAAAAAAAATTAATTTTTTATTTTTATTTTTATTTCAACAAATGATACAATAGAACATGAATTTTGACTGTAAAATTTAAAATATTTTATATTTTATATATGATTGGACTATTTTTTGTCTAACTATAATATTATAAACTTAAAGGGTCTAAGTGTTATATATTCGCAAACTTTAGAGGAGTCTAAGTATAATTTATTAACGGATATATTTATAATATGAGTCTAAGTGTTACATGCGTACAAACCTCAAGAGATCCGAATATAATTCTCCTAATATTTAAATGTGTATCTGTTTGTGTAAATATTTAAATGTGATCATTTTGTTGTCGAACCACGGCCGCAAAAGCCAAAATTTTCTCCACCCCACTCTGCCCTGTTTAATATGTTCGGAGCTAGACATTCAAGACAATGAAGAATGAAGGATTTGATGCAACCCACTTTCCTCTGTAGCCCACAAACAACAGAAGTGTAAAAAAAATAACAATTTGGTATAGTGACAAAAAACACATTCCAATTTGCACAACATCAATACAATCAATTGATCAAATATCCAAAACTCCTCCAAACAAGCATCACCCAAATCAAACCAAACACCAAAAAAAATCAAATCGAAATACAAGTGGTGCGCACACAAGGAATTCCGTCAAAGTTAATTGCGAATTTGGATAGAATGGTCATATTGACACAAATTATATACTTCAAGAACTAAATTGACACAAAACATAGTTTACAAGCTTAATTAATACAAATGATATACTTCAAGGGCCAAATAAATAATTAACTCTAGGGGGGTTCAAATTTTTAACTACTCGCAATTTTCTACCCTACCTGAACCTACCCAACCTTATTGATCGGTTAACTGAAAAAATCAGGTAAAAATGCACAAAAATTTTTGGTCTTCTGATTAAATCGGGTAGGAATACAGAATACTCATTAAATTTTCGTTTTCCTACCCTACCCTAATGATATATTATTTGTGGTAATCTATTGAATCAGTTATGATTTTTGATGTATTTCATATGATTTAAACATAAAATAGTTGTTATTGTTGATGTTTATACATTTGGCTTTCTTGTGTTTTATTGTAATTGTTTTAAGTTTTAATGATATTAGTTTATTGTGTTGTTAAATTGATTCAAGTTATTTAATTGAATTATTACAATGATTTAAAAATTAATAATTATAAAACGTGTTCATCCGATTTCCTACCCAACTTTCTATCTGATTAATTTAGACAGAATTCGGAAAGGAATATTACACTTGATTGGATAAAGTAGACCAAAAAAAAAAATTCTTTCACAAAATATCAGGTAGGAAAATAAAAGATCATATTTTCCACCCACGTGGTAGGTTGAACACCCCTAGTTAACTCAATGATTAAGTACATTCTCATTAATTTAATTTTTCAGCTTTTGAAATAAAATTAATCAAGGGATAAATATCCTAAATAGCCTTGACACTATGATGTCATAAAATTTTAAATTATCTCAATTTTAATGCTTGAACTTCTAAAGTCATTCCATTCAATCACTTTCCATACATTTAAAAGTGAAAATAAACCATTTTTCTCTCCTGAGAAACACGTACTTCTGTTATGGGCAAAATAGAGATGTAAAATCTAAAAAATCTCATTATAGATCATTCTCGCATTTAAAGACTCAATATCAAATCTCAGAGACCTAGCAATAGCAAATGGTATTTAACTCTTTAAACAGTAGCCCATGATTCTGAAAATGGGAAAAGAAAGATGCGCTTTTAACGCCAAAAATGGAGGATGGAAGGGGATGCTTGAAGTTTAGGGGACAAATTGATACAATTAAAAGTTGGGTTAATCTCAAATTACATTGATGATTCGAATTTTAATTTGTACTCTTAAAGATCAAAAATTTTAATTTAGACCCCCAAAGATAGAAATCTGTTTCAATATGCACCTCAAACTAACAGTCATCGCCTATTGGTTTGCTATTGATAAATTACACCTACACTTCCTCATACTTATCACTTAATCATTTAGACACCTTATATTTGAAATATTAAACCTACATCCTTTTAGTATCCAAATATGATTAAAAATGTTCCTCCAATTGGGCATCCAAATAATTTTGTTTAAATGATGTATTGCATTGGATATAAAGAACGTTATATAAATACATGCATTATATTGGACATTCAAATAATAAGCTTAATTTTGAATTTTAAAGTAAACGGATCCACAAAATAAAAGGTACTATAAAAATTATAATATTTTTATTAAGATAAAATAATATTTTTTAATAGTTATATTAACAGATATCAACGACAAATAGTTACGTGTTACATGTGCAAGAATGTCAAGAGGTGTACGAGTAATATTCTAAATGTGAGGGGGTCCAAATGATTAAGTGACAAGTATGAGGGGATTTAAAAATAATTTATTCATTTAGTTTTAGACGACAAACTACGACTGTTAGTTTCAGGTATGCATTAATACAAATTTCTATCTTTGAATATATAAATTGAGATTTTGATCTTTGAGGTTGCGAATTGAGATTCAAACAATCTTTTCGAAGTGTAATTTGTGATTAACCCTTAAAATTTTATGGGTTATTTTAAATTAGAGTTGTTATTTAAAAATCAATTATATTATTCATCTCTCTCCTTAAGATTAAGAATGACAATTTTTGACACAAAACAAAGAGATTAATAAGTTAAGGTTAATCATTTCTTAAAACAAAGTCGTAAAGGACACAACTCATTAACACGAATAATAAATAGATTGGATTAGTGTTAAACAAGAATAACACAAAATTGACACGAATAACACATTTAATTAGTATTGTAATATTAAAATGTCAATTATTTATTATTTTTTTATCAAATATTGACATAATTATTGTACCAAAAAAAGATAATTTTAGTCATTTTTATTGATATGTTTATTAAGTTAATTTTTATTTATAAAAAAGTATAAGTATTAAGTCAATTAAGTGATAATAAAAAATTAGGGCATTAAATCTTTTCGTCTTCGCAGCTTGGTCTTCTCAACTGGTTAAAAATTTTGCAGTTCCGTCTGATTTTAAGGCGACTAGAGGAATCGGAGAGTGTCATCGTGATTCTATTGCTATGGTAGAATGAAACAACTTCTTATACTAACAATTCAGGTACATTTCTTTCTTCTCCACCCCATCTTTATTAATAAGAAAGGACCTAATATGAACCTATTTTTATTTTAAAATTTAATTTAATTTAATTTATTTGAAAAAACGCTAACGGCTCAAATTTAATCTATTTTTAGTTTAATAACCTTGATTTCATCTTCATTATTCTAAGTTAATTCAAAGCCGGACAATGCATTCCACACAAACAACGTATTCCGCCCAAACTTTTTGCACAGTGTCCAACTCAATTGTCGGACAGAAAACTCCCCAAGTGCACAACGTCTTTCTTCTTCTTCTTCTTCTTCTTCTTCTCCTGTCTGTCCGTCTCCTCCGTTGCGAGCTCTCTCTTCCCTCTCACGCTTCACCGGCCACCCCACCGACCCAGGTAAGCTCTCCTCTCTCTCTCTCTCTCTCTCTCTCCCCTCTGTTTCTCACCTCCCTTTCTACACACGCACACACAGTCACACACACGCACAGAGTCGAATAATCTAGGGTTTTGAATTGGGTGTTAATTTAGGGTTTTGAAATTGGGTGTTAATTCATCTCCCCTTTCTGTTTTCCTCTATCTCTTTTGTCTCCACCGCCTCTGCCACACCATGCCATTGCCCATGTCCCACCGTAGACCCACCAAACCCACCCCACAGCCCACGAAACCATACCAAAATAGCCGAATTAGCACTAATTTTTAATTTGTAATTCTATTTAAATCAGATCAGTGTGTGTTCTTTGTTAGAAGAGAAAGTTTGTTTCTTGGTGGACTGTTAATCTACAGAGTTAAAAATCAGTCCTTTACCCTTCTGGTTTCTAAATGCTTCACATACTTCCACCGACTTGGAGATTTTATTCACATACTTCCACCGGTTTTTTCTGCTGTTGAATGGGAGTTAATTTTCCGGGAAAATCATGGCCATGGGAAAGTCGTTCAAGGATTCTCTTAAAGCTCTCGAAGCTGATATTCAGCTTGCCAATACTCTGTAAATCTCTCTCTCTCTCTGATTTTTTTCCCTCTGTTTTTTCTATCTCTGAATTGAATGTTGTTGTAAAGCTTTATTATCCTTGCTTTTTTTTTTCCCGGCTTTGTTTTGGGCTGATGATCATGGGAAATTAGTTACCAGTACTTTCTAAATCTACCTCTTTATCTCTTTCTAAATCCACCTCTTTGTCTCTGATTTTTTTTCCTCTTTTTTTTTAATCTCTGATTGAAAGTTGTTGTGAAGCTTTGTCATTAATTTTTTTGTGCTTTATTCGACTCAGAAGCATGAGAAATCTGTTGGGGAGCTCTTATTCTATGTCGTTTTAAATTCCATAATATTTGTATATGCATTAATTCATGTGATGTTGATGAGTTCTTTGACATTTCCACCTATCTTAACACTTCTGAATGGGTTAGTAGATTCCTTGAATCCGAGGATGGTTTATGTGAATTATGATCATGAATTAATTCTGAACTTTGTCCTGTCAATAAGTTTGATGCTTGAGTTGTAGAAGTAGACAATGAATGAGCCAATGGGGCTAATTTCATCCCATGTGTTTCTATGTTACACAGTTGCAATTGTCTTGATTACAATGAATAATTAGAATTCTATTTCTATGTTACACGGTTGCAATTGTCTTGATTACTAAGTTGTGCTAACAACCATCTCAATGTATCTTTTTCACTTCATCTGCATAGTAGTTGGATATCAAGAACTCATCCACTATTTTTTTTTTAAGAAATGAGATTTGTATTCATGTTGAAGTTGTTTTTATTTATTTATTTCTTTTACTTTATATTTCTTTATTTTATTCCCTCGATTTCGTAGCTGCATCAACATTGACGCAAAATAAACGGATGGTTAAACTGTAATTTTTTTTTTTTTTTTTATGACTAAGGTATCGTAAAATAAGAAATGTGTGTGATTTCATGTGGGTTTATGTGTTAAAAGTTTGTTGTTTGGTAGTACTTTCATTAGTGGGTCTATGTTGTGGTAGTTAGTAAATCTTTTTATTAAGGCAGGATTATGGTTGGTGAGTGCGATGACTTTGGGGTTCTGTCAAAAATTAGTGACCCCAATTAATTTCAACAAGGTTGAAAATCAACCAGCGTTTGAGTTTCAACTTTGTTTAGTGGATTTTAATTTTTTAATTGACGATTATTTGGCTTATACAGGGTGAATGAATGTACTCAGTTATTCATATTAGCTTAAGTTTGGTGTTAGTTCAGTTTATATTTGTATCTTATTCATTTTGGTATTAGATATTTGGGTCATTATATTGCGGCACTTGATAAATAGTGGTAACAACAATATGTGATGTGATGAGATTATTTATGCAAGATAGTTTTTATTTACATAGAGGTTTGATTATGAATTGTGTACTGGATCATGTTTTTCAAGAGAACTTTGTCGAATATTTTTTTTAAATAACAGATTGTTTATATTAACTATTAAAATTTTGTTTGTTGCACCAACTATTTTGATATGAGATTCATATGTGTAGTTATAATTACATGTAATATGTTATTGGTAGTAATGTTACTGAATAGATGATTGAATATTTAAATAGTGGATCATTGTGTAATGAAAGATATATTTCTCAATGTTCTCAGCGCAAAGTTATTTGATATGCCTTTTAATTGATCATAGTCTTTTTTTATTATTCCGTGCCTTTAGGCACAAGTAATTACTAGTTCTAACCCTATGCTTGGCACTGTGTGTGAGACAGTTTTTGTAGTTCAGTCCAATTGCAATGGTCAATCCTACACTTTTGTTTGAGCAATACATTGGACTCATAATCCAGTTTGTGATTTATCCTTGTTTATATGATTATATCAGGTTACTTTAGGGCTTGGTGATGCCAGATTCCTTATTCAATCCAAGAAATTGGGAATGATTCTAGTTCATATGTGTCGCTTATAGAACAAAAAAAACAAAAATATGGGCTGTCTTCTTGTCATTGCACTGTGATATTGTGCCAAATTTTCTGAGACTTTTGTTTAGGAAAAATTATTTCGATTCACCGTTGTTGATATCTAATTTTTGAATCTTTGCCTAGAAAATTTTGTCAGAACCCTTACCAGTTTCCTTTTGTTCTAGTGATGCCCTTGAACCAACCAGTCCTAGCAATAAATCCAATTTTAGCAAGGCATTTAATTTTGAAGTCCAGGTGTTTGATGTAATGTTTCTCTAAAACTATTAGCTGGGTAACTGTTTTAATATGATCTCTCTCTGATGTTAATTATGGGTTTTTTCGTCACTGATTGCTGTAATATTATGCATATATTATGGTGAAGAGTATGGTCAGTCTTAATTCTTGATATTCACATGCTCAATTGATATAATCTCATTTGGGTTATTGTATTGATAGCTAAAGAATTGTGTGGTCTAATCTGTTGTAGAAGCTTGCTCGATGGCATGGTTCATGATCATTGTTTCAGGGATGCTTGTCTGGTTGGCCTCTCTCTGCAAAATTCTTCATGCATCATGGTCACCTTCTAAGGCAACATTCTTAAATAGCACTGGTAGGTAATCTGTTACATGCTTGTTTGTGTATTTGATTTGTATAGATGAGTTTGTTGGTTATGCATAATACCACATTTTCTATCAAATATCAGGTGGAGCTCTTCATAGGAAAAATGTGTTGCTGGTTATATCCCATCCTGATGATGAGTCTATGTACGCTTGAAAATCCAAAAATGTGTTGCTAAACTCCTAGTTATGCAGTTGTTAATGTTACAAAATGATTTAAACTGACCTTTGCAATTTGTTTTTTTTTCTTTTTTTGTTGTTGTGTGCCATTGAAAATGTGAAACTACATTCATAGTTCTTAGTATTTCCTTGCATCTTTTTGGGCCTTCGTAATTGCATGTACATGGGCTGGACTACTTGTCCACCTTTGCTTGGACAATATAATTTTTACATATCAAAAATAAAAGTTTATGTATGAATGTTTTCTAGATACAGCTCCATATAACAACACTTTAGAGAAAGCTTGAACACTTTTAGCTAGAGTGTTGATCTTAAATTTTTGTACTCATAATCATGTAGTTTTCCCTTGTTATAGCCATGGTTTTGGAAGGCCATCCAATGGCCATGATCAGCACCTTAATATGCATGAAAGAAATTCTTTTTTGGTTAACTTAACGTAATTATGAGTGCTGTTCAGGAAAACTAGCATGTCTGTTGATAGGAACCATGTTGTTGGACGGTGACTTACGGAGTCCGTGAATACTACACCTATTTTAAAAATATATCAGGCATTTTTAATGAGGTCAGTTTGCTATCTGATTTAGTTATTATAAAAACCTTTGTTCATTTATGCAGGTTCTTTAGTCCAACAATTAATTACTTGACTTCAAGGGGGCATAATCTTCACATACTGTGCTTATCAACCGGTAATATGCTGTTATTGATTCATGAAAATCGTAGAATACATGTCCATTTAGATGTTTCTTTTTTGTACAAGTAACTTTGCCTGTAGAATGAGCTAGCATCATTGTATAAGTTAAACAATTAGTGTATATGATAATGAATGAATTAATATATATTATTCATCCTTTAAGAAAACATTATATTAGTAGGCCCTAAAGAGGGGCCAGAACTCATTCCATTGTCCCTCCTTGCCCAATGTGCATGGTTTGGTAGGCTATTGTGCATCTGGAGTTTATGTTTTATCCATGTATCAAAAGGGTGCCATTAGGAAAAAAATTAAAATTGAGAGACTACTCCACCCTATAAGCTAGTTTGGTATAATACTGCGAGTTGTTTGGCCTTTACTCAATTAAAAAAAGGTTGTAGTTCCTGTTAAAGCATTCCTTTAGCCTGATTCACTATGGCCTTAAGGGTTCAAAAAATGAAAAGGGATTGTCATAAATAAATGCAAAATTAATTGGAAAGATTGAGGGTACCCTATTTTGAATTCTAAAGCATTACCTTATGCGAGCATCCATAGTTGACACTGAGTGGAGAAGCCCAAATGGCTCATATATACAATAACAGTGTGGGATTACTTCTAACATAGCCCTTTGCATGCATCTCCAACTAGTAGATGGACAGACAACAAAAAATTAAAAATACTATCAATGTGCAGAATACTTGAGTGAAAATACAAACATAACCATTTAAGTGGATTATGGGAAAACAGTTGATTGAGGCCTGACCCCACTTTGATTCGTCAAGTGTCCAATCCAAAACCAATTGAAAGGAGCAGCGGCATCCTATTTGGTTTTATAGGATCTACCTCATGCTAGAACCCACGAGGCCACAACTATCAAAACCGCCTAGTAATGAGTTTAGAGATCCACAAAACTCATATCCTTGTTTTGCTGACCTTGTAATACCAATGTGGTATATGCTCTGACAGTTTTTATTGATGTTTACTGTTTTTTTACTGGATGTGGTCATTTTCTGCTCAGACTACATGAAGTGGATGTTGTTTCGACTGGACTGATACTATGTGCTTAGATGATGCCCAAAGCACAGAGCAACGCTGCAAGAATAAGAGCAAGGCTGGAAATGCCGGCATGTGGGATTTAGGTTTGAGATACCTAAGTTGAGAGAGTATTTAGATTGTCTATGTCATTTAACAATGTTTTAATGCTATGCAAAGAGGATTCTTACCTATCAGCAAATGTTCACACCACAATCTGTGCACAGATATAATAAGCATGGACTCAGTTGTGGTCAAGTGACAAAAGAAGTTGAATACACATATCATTTCAGTTGGTTTCACATTCTTCCTGAAAATAAAGTTGGTTTCAAATTCTGTTTGTATTTCTGTTATCTCCTCCTCTTCTTAATTATCCATAATTATGTGTATGTGGTACAATTTTCAGTATTTTATTTGTTTATACCATTTATTACTTTGAGGTCATTTATCAATGGAAAAATTATGGCTAGGTGATTCACAACGTACACAAAAGTATATCGGTAATCTGTATGTGCAAATTAGTTGCCAATTATGTGGGATGCAATTTCCTACTTCACAGGACATGTAAGAATAAGGTGGAAATTTTCTTACATTCATTTTACATCGCTTCCCTAACATACATGTTATGTAGGCAATGCAGATGGAATGGGAAACATTAGAAAAGAAGAGCTCTATCTGGCTTCTGCAATTCTCAAGGTGCTATATTATTTGACACATTTCATAACCTGCCTGTTATAATGCTGATTACATGAATACCAAGCCTTTTTTCCACGTCCATGCCTGCCTTGTTTTCTATGCTAGTGATTCTTGTCAGGGTGAATCTCAGAAAGGATGTCACCTTGGTATTTATCGAGATTTGAATGTATTTATGTAGGTTCCACTCCAACAAGTAAAGATCCTGGACCATACAGATTTGCAGGTTCTTTCTGAAGTCTCCCATGTATAACTACACTTTGAGACAAAAGTTTTGACATAATTTGGTTTTAATTAGTAGGACGGTTTTGGCAAAGTGTGGAACTGCAACTTAGTGGCAAGGATCATTGAAGAGGAAATTCATACTCGAGAAATTGAAGTGGTAAGATCCGGTTATAGCAATCATCTATGTTTTTCTTTTCCATAGTTTTTTGTCCAGTTCTCCTGTCTAGTAAAATATGTTTAAAAATGATGAAATTATATTTGAATAAGAGTGGTGTAATTTTTGGTGTTTTAACATTGCTGCGACTAGCTTCTAGTCCTGTGCAGCACACTATCCAACAAAACCTGCCTATGTGGTTTTTCCATCAATTTCTCTATTGTTGTGCTTCAGGTCATTACTTTCGATAACTATGGCGTTTCAGGTCATTGCAATCATTGCGATGTGAATCGCGGGGTGCGGTAAGTTGATTTTGACTTTTTAGGCATTCTTTTCGTAAACATTTGACTTAGTTTTTTTAAGGCATTCTTTTTTTCCTTCAATCATACTCAACCTTATCCATTTCTGGTCCTTAAAAATAAAAATTTCTGTTTATTTTCCTTATTATCTGCCACATCATGGTTCCAAGTATCAAGTGATATTGATACAACTTAGTCAGTTTGTATCCAACTTAGAACCATCCTATAGGTGCCGTTCCACAACCATGTATACCACAGCGATATTGAGACTTGGCCAAGTCATTTGAGACGCCTTCAGGTCAACCCCTAGTCATTTGAGTTATCATTTCTGATAACGTTTATTGAAGCAACAATATGAACTAAATCTCTAGTTGTTTCACCTTATTCTTTTATGTAGCATTAGAAGTGTTATCATCTGATACTGTTTTGTGACATTGCAACCGAAGTTTCTAAAAACCCTTTTTGAGGCGATGACTAATATCGCGATCTTGAACCATGTGCTAGATATTTGATTGTTAAGGTGAAAATTGAGTTTTTTAATATTTTGGGAAAATTAAGTGATCACTTAATAATGGATTTTTTTTTTTGTTTGTTTGTTTGATTTATGGCATGGATTGATTGGTATTTCTCTCCCTCTCCCTCTCGCTCTCTGATCTGGCGTGTTTGTGTGGTAGGAGTTGGGTGTGTCTATGTTTTATTTTGAGGTCTAACGAGAATAATAGCGTTGAGGGGGTTATAATTGTGACGCACATCCAGTTCTGCATTTTGTTTACCAGTTCAGGAAGGTTTAGTGCAAAAGTTCTAAGTAGATGGGGTTCATCTATAACTGTGGTCGAGTACCAGTCCTTAAAAATAAAAACTCGAGCAGGAACTTGGAATATTGTTTTTGATTGCTAAATTATATGAGCATTTTCTGGTGACCATGGTTTGACATATAAAAGTAATACGGATTTTACAACTGACAAGTCAAAATTTTGTAGCTTTAGGAAATTGCAATCCTGTCTGAAATTATATCTCCATTGACCACTTGTGCAATTCCCGCTACAGGTTTTTGGTTTGCTGACTTAGTTCTTCATTTTACTTGTGTAGTGTCTTATAGTGCACTACTGTTTACATGAGGAAAGGAAATGGGTAATTGAAAATATGAGTATGTCAACTTTCTGTCTGAACTGGCAGTTGGCATGTGGAGTTATTATGGCTCCATGCAATTAGATACTCCTAGTGGTTGGCAGTATCAGCAGCTGATAGTTTTGTATCTGCATAAATTTACTTGGTTTTTTTTAAGGCAAAGCCTGAGCAAAAAAGGAAGTAGCTGTATGATACTCTGAAATTTTCCTATTATCAATGAGCAAATAGTGGCGATACTAGATTGAAAATTGTACCAACTTCCAGTTTCTAAAGCCAAATGGCTGTGCATACTCCTATAAGTTTTGGAATATAATTTTACTGCATGGATAGAATATAAGTAAGGTGGTAGCAGTTCAATATGTTATGAAATTGGTTTGACTTTTTTTTTTTCTAAAAAAATTTAAGCAGGAGGCTCTTGCATGATACGTCACAGATAAATGTTGAAGCTTGGGAGCTTGTACGTATTCTCTCCATAGTCCTTTTAACATGTTTTACATGTGCATGTCAATGGCTTAGATGTATGTTGACATGTTGTTGAACAAATCATGAGGTCTTGAACCACCCTTTCTTAATCTTCTAACTAAATGTCTCCAAAAATTTACAGCACAGCAACCTTGTTTATGCTGAACTGCCGGATGACATGTCTTCTTGTTTAAATACTGTAGATAAGTTAAAAAATAAATGAACTGGTTGGGAAATTCTTACATTGTGGTATTTAGTTTTCAAACAAAAGGTGAAGAATCTGAAGCGGAATTTTTAGGTTCATATAAAATTTATCATTAGCCTGAATGCTAAAGTCATGAATATTGTTTTCACAATCCTCAGGTCAGTACTAACATTTTACGCAAGTACAGTGGGCCAGTTGATATCTGGTTGTCCATCTTGTATGCCATGCATTATCCAAATGGGCAGCTTCATTGCTTGCTAAACGAACATCCCCGCAAAAGCTATGTTGCAATGGCACAACACACAAGCCAGTGGGTTTGGTATGTTTGCTTATGCTTTCTTCTTTTATTCAAAAAGGAAAACATATGGCAATAAATATTGAACCTTTTCCATTTTGTTATTTTATATTTTAATGTGATAAACAATTGGCTGCATACTAGTTGTCAAACTCATACCTAGTTTTTATGCTTTTTCTTTTGTCTTGCAAAGTCTTTTGCATCGATCATCATTCACATCCATGGCACAGATTTTGTATGCACCGCTTAAATAAAGCATCTCATACGAACTGGTTCACAGTTTATTGTCTCTTTTAAGTGAATGTTGGATTCCGTTGTGCAGGTTCCGGAAGCTTTTTGTATCATTTTCCAGTTACACTTACGTGAACACGCTTAGGAAGATCAACAAGTAGTTGTCAGGTTGTAGATAAATCTTGTTCTTTCAACTTGAATATCATATTTCGTCTAAATCTTTTGCTCCGTGCTCGGGGATACGCACCATCACTATTTTCTTGGCCTTCAATTGTCCATATTTTCTCCAGACAAAATAAACTGTTGTCAGGATAAACAAGTAGGTACATGCGAGTTTATAGACAGTTGGAAGAAAAATGGCTCTTGCTATCCTTCTCGACTGCTTTTATTTGTTGAAATATTTTGTCTCACATTCTCTTTTTTTGTGTCTCAGGTACTTGATTCAATCTGCGGCCTTTCATTTCTTTTGTGTAACCAATCTATTAACATGTCTCAAAAACAGAAAAGGATCTGCAATCAATGATAGGAGTCGGGATCTGGGAGAGCAGACACTGCAATCAATAGAGCTGCTGCAGTTGAATATAGGCAATGATCTTGACTAAGAAAGGTTGTCTATATTACATCACTGACAACAAAATATAAGACTCTAAATTGTTATAAACTCGAGATTTGTATAGGACCAAGGTCTGTGAATGCTGAGATGACTATTGTTTGCTATGTATACATACTATGTACAATTCCTTTTTGATGGCTTGATACTTGAGAGCAAGTTTCTTCTCTCTGATTTAGCTAATATGTCTGTACTCTGTCAATTCTGCAGCGGTGTGTGTGTGATTTCAGGCTTCGAGCTTAGCAAAAGAAGATACTATTTCAGAATTATTGTATGTCAGGGTCTTGGGTTAAGGTTTTAGTTATTGATTTATAACATTTGTTCATTCCATGTCTTAACAGTTTTTGTGCAGAATTGTAGTTTCATCAACTCTCAAGTTATCTACATCTTTTATAAATTGTCAAGATTGTTCTTCAAAGCGATCCTCTCACACTCTTCAATATCCTATCTTCTGTTCTTAAACTTCCTTTCGGATAGAATATAGCAAGTTAAGACTCGGTTGCTGCGGTTATTTCAGTTTGTGCCAAATAATTCCTTTTGGATAGAATTATTGTAAGACTGGGTAGCTTTTACTGCGGTCCGTTTGGGGTATGAACTTGGTTACGAGAAAATTGTGCTTGAAGGAGATTCCAAAGTTGTTGTTGATGCTATACAGAACAAGCTAGTGGATTTATCGGAGATAAGGAATGTTGTGGAACAAATTTAGGCTTATGAGATTACTCTTGATTCCTGTTCAGTATCTTGGACTCGTAGGGAAGGAAATGACTTCCTCAATTGTCAAGCTAAATTCATGATAAATTGTAGTACCCCAACTTTGTGGATGGAGGAGGAGATTTCCTCTTTTCTGTTGTCTTTCCTCTATCAAGATGTAATAGTTTCTTGTTAAAGAAATATATATCGTTTTACTTCAAAAAAAAATAATAATAATACAAGCCTGTCCTTATTTATTTATTTTTAACAAAAATAATTTGAGAATAATTACAAGTAAATTTTTTAATATTTTCATAACGATAACAATAATAGAAACATTATGTAATTTTGTGTATTATTATACAAATATTCTCTTCTTAGATTGTGCTGGAAGGTCACGTGATTAGGCCTGTCCGTGAATTAAATTGGGAATTGATATTCAAGTTAAATTCAAATTTGAATTAAAAACTCAAATTCAAATTTAACTTGAATATAAAATAAATTCTACTTTCACAATCTATATTTGTTTGCACTAAAACTCAAATATCTGATCTAAAATTTCAATTTGGTTCGAAATAATTCTATTAGAACTAGATTTATCTGAATTTTAATTTAATTTTATAAATAATAACTAATTTTATTGTATATATGTAAATCTATATAATAAAGTAGTTTATAATTTAAATTTTAAAAGATAAACAAAATGATTTTTGCTATTCGCAGTTGAGATTCATTTAAATTTTATTTTAAAATTAATCTAACGGCTAATATTAACACCCTAAAAGATGTGTTTGGAGTGACTTTTTAAAAATACTTCTAGAAATTATTTCTTATAAATATTTTTTTTTAAAATAGTGTTTAAAATTGTCACACTACTATCTCTACCACCACTGTCTCCGCCGCCATCGTCACCACCACTACCATCACCCTCACAGCCCTCGTCGTCGCTGCCACCACCACCACTGACTCCACCGTCGCCGCCACAATCATTGTCACTCACCACAACTATCACCGTCTCCTACCACCACAACTGCTGCCCACCACCTCTCACCTGCATTACAAATCGATGATTAAATTCTTTTCTCTCTTCTCTAGATTTGTGATTTTATTTGGGATATGAATACAAGTATATTTATTGTTTATTATTTTTTATTATTCTGTATTTTCATGCACAGACAATAACTAAACTAATGTTATGTTATGAATAATTAATCAAAAATTTTCAAACTATATTCGATTAATCAAATTCGAAGTCCCGGGCATTCCTATTAAAACCGGACCCGAGTCGGTTCTTATTAAACTGCAAGTTATCCAAACCAAAATATCTTCTGAAACATATTAAACCAGCCAGCTTCTCTTATCTCTTATCTCTTCCCTCCCAGCTTTATAAACACAAAAAGGCACAAAGACAGAGAGGGAGAGATGAGTTCCCTAATCAGCACGCCCATTGCACCCACTTCACACACCCTTTTGAAACCAAATCGCAATACCCTCTTACGTGGTGATTCTCTTCTTCCAAAGCGCCTTTCATGTACTAGAACGAGAAGTTCTTCAACTACAAGGGCTTTGCTTTCAACTACCAAGGAATCAGTCTTAAAAGATTTTCATGAAAGAAGAGCTCTCAAGGTACATCCAACTAGGCTCAACTTCCTACCTTGATCTTTTGTTATTGTCTTTCACAGCTTCTATTCAATACCCTTTTTGGTTTAAGAGAAAGCTGAAGAAAATAAATGGAAGAGAAGTTTGAGTTTAAGGATATACTCAATATGTCTTAGAACCCATCTTTCTTATCATTTTCATTGTTTCTCTAATTGAGTTTTGTTTGGCTTGCTTTTCAAATGCTGAATTTTTCTGTAAGAGCTCTTCTTGGGTATAGTAGTAGATAGTTACTCTGTAGTTTAGATACAGCAGTGTATTGATACAATTTTTCGGAATCTTGGGCATATCTGTCTCTGTGATTCTTTTTTCATCACAAGTTACATAAGTTGTCTTTACTCTCTCTCTCTCTGTTGGGCTACTTTAATATTTTCGAAACTAAATTCTAGAACAATTGTATCCTGGACAGATAATCTCAGGCTTGCAGAATTTGAATAAGGAGAATGTTGCTTCTGTTGTTACTGCTGCAGATAAGGTTGGACTATCTTAATTCTTTAGTTATCATCTGTAACTCTTTTTTTTCTGTACGAAAATTGTGTGGTGTGTGATTAGAGATCCTCTGCTACTGACAAACCGCTACTCAATTGGTTTATCAGATGGAAAGTTCATGAAATATGTTAAATTTATCTGTATGTTGTCTTTGATAATTCATTAGCATGATTCTTTTCTCTGTTTCATTTTGTGAGGAATTGTCTGGCCAGTGGTCATACATGTTTCCACTGGGAATATTCTTCTGCTTTTAGGCACTTCCTGTTCTTAAAGTTACTTCTAGGTTTCATTTCTTTCTGAACAATTGATTACACTATGATGTTACTTAGTGACACTGTTGAGGGAAGTCGTGATTATATTCGATGTGTAGGGAGGCTGGGTGCTCTGTTGAATGGGGATTAGATTTTGAGGGCCTCATTCATGTCAATGAATACTACTGGTTGACATTCCAAAAAAATTCACCTATCATCTGATACAGAGATTATGATGTCTAAGTATCTGCCTAAATGGTAGTCTTCTTTGTTTTTAAACTTTCCATCTTTCTACACCCTTTCCTCAAAATTGATAAACTTATGACTTCTTTTAAGATATAAACAAAATGTTCTTTCAAACATCTGAACCAGTCTGTTCTGTCTTTTTTAAATTTTGTTTTTGGTTTTTTAGTGGTTAGGTCCAAATGAGTCAAGCCAAACATTTCTTAAAACCGATAAGGTAACACCTATATATGCACAGTAGGGTGCATGAAATTTTTTGAAAAACTCAAGCAGTTGGCAATGCAGTCACAGGAGATCATTACAGTAGTTTTAAGGTAGTAGAACAACTTTATTGCTGTGCTAAGGCCTCCGTCTAGATTCATATAATAGGTTTTAGGTTATTTATAAATTACTAGTCATTATTTTAACATGCATTTGGGGTGCTGCTCTGATGGTTGTTTTCCAAAAGGGGCAAGACACTATTAGCTGTTATTCTCAGCTCAAAATTTTTGCTCAGACCATTTAAACTTCTTTTTTCCCTGACAAAATGCAGGCTCAAGTTTTCTCCAAAATGGTGTTCTCTATTTGTAGTTGTAAAAACAATGTTCCTGAGCATATGTTCCTAGTTTTTCTTCAGAAAGGATAGTTGAGATTAGAGCTTAAGGATTGATCTTGCCAGAGTCTCACCGAGAACAATGCTTGTCTAAACTCTTCTGTTAATGTTGAATCTGCTTTATCCCGAGAGTACCCTTCACATACTTTTCCCCTCCGCCCTCTCCCCTCTGACTGCACACCGTTTCCCTTGGTATTCTATTTAATTGACAGAGTTCTTCGATTAAGACTATTCCAACTAGTGTACAAAGGTAAACAAAACCTGGCTAAGTGGCCTATGACACATCCTAGTTGGATAACAATCATCTAGATCAAGATCAACTGGTTCTCCAGATATGTTGATTAGGAGGATTAGAAGAGGAAACTGATGTCTGAGAATTAGGGGCAAGTGAGCAATGGAATGATTCTAAAGATAAGCACCGTTTTCATCGACAATGTGAAGTTTATGTGCTTCACTTTTTACTCTGTTCTCTTCCTCAACACTCAATTCTGAACTTAGCTAGTTGATGACGTGCTTCTAAAAGCTCAAACTGCTTTGCCATAGTGATTTCTATTCTTTCAATAACTAATGCTCACTACTTATCTTATCATACATCAAGGGGGGTGCAACACATGTGGACATTGCCTGTGATCCAGATTTGGTGAAGCTGGCGACTAGCTTGACTTCTCTTCCGGTAATCATAGTCTTTAGATAAACTTTTATTCTCTTTCAAATTATAATCTCATAGAAAACATTTTCCTTTCCATCATTTCCTGTTTTCTGATATCTTGTCAAAATGACACTACACTAATTAAACATTGGTTTAGGTGGAATAATCAAATCAAATCAAATAATGACACAAAAGTGTACGAACATCTTGAAGAAGAGAAGAAAAATATTGCTTTATTTTTTGTACCTTTGTCCAGTTGTCAGGAAATTTGTTTTCTCAACCTATGAGATGTTATGGAGATTTCCAATGAGATTGTCTGAGGATCTTCTTTATGTCATTTGGATTTTCGATCAGGTTATTTCAAGTGTATCGAAATTGAATCAACTTTTGTATATTTTGTGGATCATGATCTTTTTTTGATTGCAGACGGTGAAATGATTTCTCTCAAACGACAACCTGACAGCTTTTCAGTTCCATGAAGCATGAACACACTCGTTTTAAGTCACTGCATTGTGACTAAACCTTTTCCTGCCTTCCCTTCTAAAATCTCTTCTAAGTTTTTCATGTCGTCTTCTCTGAATAAATTGATGCACTGTAAGCTACAGCTTTCAACAAATGTAAGCCACATCGTCAGCAACTTTAGCTGCCTTATCTTCAGAGAGCAATGCTAATATTCTTCCAAACATGTTATTTGTGTACTTTCAAAAATGATACCTCGTGTTTGCAGGTTTGTGTTTCTTCTGTGGATCCTGCAGCATTTTCCGCAGCTGTTGAAGCTGGAGCTTTGATGGTCTGACCTCTATCTTGGTTACAATTGTTCTCCATTTCAGTCCATAAGATAGAAGTCAGACTAGATGACCCTGTACCTAACTAATTTCACACTTCATGAATTGAGTTGAAGATGACAAGTCAATTTTGTGATTCCTTTATTAATAAACATATTTTAATGCAGGTGGAGATTGGAAATTATGATTCGTTCTATGAGATGGGCATAGTTTTCTCCCCGGAGCAGGTATCAAAATTTATTGGGTCGGCAGAAAACATTCTTGCATTACAGCTTCAGTTGAAATTGCAAATCAAAGTGTTTTATCACAAGTGAAATATGAAAGATATATCCTAAGAGCATAGGAAGAATCAACACAAAATCAATAGTCCAAACATAATACTCAAAAATTGCTGTGTTTTTTCTTGGAAGTGGTATGCATTTCATGAGGAGTTACAAATTCAACTCTAGTCATCTCTATTTGGACTAATTTCCTACTTTGTCTTCTCTTTTGGTAGATTCTTAATCTAACGAAGGAGACCAAGAGGATTCTTCCATCAATGACACTATCCGTCACAGTGCCTCACACACTAAGCCTCCCTGATCAGGTTAGAAGCAGTGGTTCTAACGAATATAATTCATTATTGACTGACACCATTCATTATTTATATATATAATTTAAACTACCAACAGATTAAGCTAGCAGAGCAGTTAGAACAGGAAGGTGTTGACATTATCCAGACTGAAGGAGGAAAAGGGTCTAGTCCTTCAAAGCCTGGTGTTCTTGGCTTGATCGAAAAGGTAAGAAAAAATGTATTACTGAAGCACATACACTTAAATAGGATGTACATGCATTACAATTAGGGAACTTAATAAATTTTGGAAACCATTAATTCAATTGCTGAAAAATGCAAGTCTAACCATCATCCATTGATCGAACAAAAGCTTTGGTGGAATCCATGGATTATATGGGCTTCTCCTTTAATGATTTTTAACCTCATCTTTGTTTGGTTGTCAAGAAAATGAAGAGGAAAAAAAAGGAGATAAAAAGTATTGTATCATAATGTTAATGAACTGGATAAAGAACAAAATTTCCACTTCACTGGCACTGACACAATCTTTGTTGTAAAGCCTTACGTCTTTTGTTTTTCAAAGTTGATTTATACAGAATCTAGTGACCAAAATAGAATTTTCTTTCCATGGAATTAACTCTATGATTACAAACAAAAGCTGCTTTCCCTCGACGACTCGTTTTTTCTTGAAAGCCCTTTGGTGCATATACTTCAGGGGATAACTACATCATTCGAACTCTCTTTGATGTATAAATTCATATATATTGTCCTATGTATCAACGTTCCCTCAACTAACCTTCTTTTCGCCAAATTGGAAATGTAGGCAACCCCGACACTAGCAGCAGCATATGCTATTTCACGAGCTGTCAAGATCCCTGTTATGTGTTCATCTGGACTAAGTGCGGTCACTGCTCCAATGGCCATCACAGCAGGGGCTTCTGGTGTGGTATGTGCTTTCAGTACTGTTTCTGCAAAATGTTTTCATCCACACCCGAAAAATAAATTAAGTCTTGAGCTACATTAGTAACAGAAATCGTATGTTGGAACGTAGGGTGTGGGGTCGGCTGTGAACAAGCTTAATGATGGGGTTGCGATGATCGCAGAGGTCAGAAGTATTGCTGATTCCTTGAGCCTTTCAACTGGTAGACATATTGTATCTGAAAAGAACACCTTGAGACTCTGACTTCTACAATCCATTCTTATAATAAAATAAATATGTAATTCTGCCTATTACAGAATATGTTTGTAATATTATACCAGCACGAAATGCTTGAGAGAGATCTCTTGAGGGAGTCGAGGACTTAATACTGGGGAGTAGTTAGGGTGCAACTTGGGCGAGCCAAACGAATTTAACCAGAATCTAACCCGACAAAAACAGGACTTGATTTGAGATTCTTAATACTTGGGTGAGATCTAGGTAGAAAATACCAACTCGAATTGAATTCGGACAGTACTCAGGTTGAGGTCTCTTGCTACTAGGTTCAATCCAAATTCTAAATCGGGCTTAAATCAAATTCTAAATCAGGTTCAACACGAATACCCGAACATATTTAAAAATAAATATATAAATTAATATAATAATATAACTTACAAGTTAAAATATTAGAGATCAGTCTTTTGGTTCAATCTTATGTTAAACGTTTGATTATTATGTCTTTATGTTAAACATTGCTTTTTATATTTTAAATATTGTGGCCTTTATGTTAAATATTTGATTAAAGTTGTTGATTGTTATTTTAAGTAAATAAATCCAACTCAAGTTCTAACCTGAAATCAATTTGAATTACGTAATCCGAATTAAACCCAAATTCTTATCCAAAATTTATCTGTATTACGTAATTCAAATTTAATCCAAACACGTTCGAATTAAACTTGGGCAATACGCGGGATTAAATATCTTGGGTTGAAATCGAATTAAGTATCTTGGGTTGAAGTCGAGTTAAGAGTTAGCATTGAGAATTATATACCTAAAATTGACTCCTCAATTTGCCCAACTCGCTTGAATTGCACCCCTATAGTAATAGTAGTAGGGACAATTGTCTTGTGTGTTTTTTGCCCTTTAGATGAGAAAGGTAAGTAATTAAATTTTAAATTCGAAGAGCAACTTTACGAAAAATCAAAACAAGAAAATAGTTAGCTTATTAAAGAAAAACATATGATGGGTTGTCAATAAAGTCGTGTTGTATCATATTCAGGTAGGTAGTCTTGTTTTGAATTCCTATCAAACATTATTTAGACTTTCATTTGAGTAACCTTTTGTCACTAATTAAACTTATCTATACTAAGTGTTTTAATTTATATTATTATTTAATTCTAACCCACTAATTCCGTTTTGCATGACAATGTGATTCCCCCAACCTCCCACTAAAAAGGAAACAAGAAAAAAAACTGTTTCGAGGGCATTAGCTCTGACTACAAACCTGCAAACAATGAGTGTCTTCAATTTTGGTCAGCAATAATGCCAAAGATGTCAGTAATAATGCAATTAAAAAAAAACGACTCCTTCAAAAAAGTAATGACTATAATCTAGAATAAGTAAAAAGCAAGCATAATTATGTTTAAAAAAGAGAAAAAATAAAATTCTATTTTTATATGTTCATAATTGTGGAATTTCATCACACTTCAAACACAAACAACAATCATACAGTGCCACCCATAAAAATAGAAGATTCTTTTTCCTCAGCACTGAATCTAGTTTTTTTTTTTTTTAACAGCCCCAGTGGATGATAGGAACAAGAAACAAATGCTAGAGAGAAAAGAACTACTTAAAAAGATGTTTCTATTAGATTGGTTGCTTGGTCATGGATAAAGCATAGAAAAACTCATTCAAACAAGAAGATTCAATTCTGCTAGTGAGGATTGAACCCCGTAATCATCTACTTGCACATCAAGCCTACCAATCACTGCATGCACATTTTTGTCACATAGAATTCAATTTGTGAACAATGATTTACACAAAAATCTTATCAATATACAACTGATTGCCAAGTACACACTAAGCCTACCGACATTTTTGTCCAAAACAAATAAATTTAATTCATTACTCGAACTCCGAGTCATCCTCAGACTCCTGATCCTCCCCACTTTCCTGCAATGGCTTCTTCAATTAATAAAATAGGCACGCTGCTGTATACCTACAGCCATAGACGCCACTGAAGACATTACGAAGAACTAAATGCAAAACAAGCTTACCTTTCTTTTGATGTAGTCCGCCATGGCACTGTCAAACTCTGCACGTTTCTCTGTAGCTATATCATAGTAATGAACCTTTTCCTATAACAGACAAATTGAAGGTTAGATGGCTATATAATTGCTTCTCTAATCTGTCTCTCTTTCTGGGACAGCCATAGTTCGAAGGACCCAAATACGTAAAACTTGATGCATCAAGACACTAAATGATTAGGCTAAATCGTGACAAGATTTCAGAGTTTCATGTGTGCCACTGAGCCATTACATAAATGAATGCAAGTTGTTTATTTAACACCCAGACAGCAAGAAGTGATTGAAGAGATATCTGTACATTAAAAGGCCAATGCATAGAGAGTCAGCCATATCAACCAAATTGAATATCGAATCTAAACGCCCAGATTGAAATAACTACACGTCCTAAAGCATACAACATAATTCGTGGAGGTGTAGAAACAGAAGAACACAAAAGATAATATCGATAGTGTATAACAAGCTTGAGTATACAGTGCCCACACCTCATAAGTCATTGTTTTCCACTTCTCTCCACAAGCCTTGCCAACCTGCAGTATGGAATTATTGCAAAATTTATGTGTATAAAAAGGAGGAAGAGGAAGCTATAACAACATACGAGCCAAGTTAGGAATCATTTTTCCGAGAAAAAAACAAAATTTGAAGTGTATCTAGTACATACATCGCGCATGGACTTGATATCTGGATTCCGTTCTTGGAATTCCTTACGAAAATCCTCCCTGGAAGATCACGTGAAATATTCAGGTGAAATAATGAAGAGAGAGGATTCAAATGATGGAACACATTCATTTCCAAATATTATCAGTTTCAAATAAAAATAAGAAAATAAGGAAGAAGGATCTAATTAAAATTCAAAAAATAAGGAAGAAGGATCTAATTAAAATTCAAAAACTTACATTTAAACAATGATAAAGCAAAGCCATCATGGCATAGCACATGAAATGATATAACTGAAAAGATCTAGACAATCAGACCTACTATAATACTTCTGCTTCAAAACTTGCTGCAGGCATCTTAATGACTTTTCATATCCTTCAGCATGGATATTATTTTCTAGTTATCAAGCAACCCGATTGTTGCATCAAACAATGCAGAACACAGTCCATAGATCTATACAAAAGTAGATTTTATAAAAATTAAAAAAAAAAAAAAGTACAATGAAGACAGATTTTTGGCAAAATTGATTTGGATGGGGCATGAAACAGTGACCTTTAACATTATACTATACCATTTTAAGTTTATTTAAGAAAATTTAGAAAGGTTTCTGTTTCTGAAAAGTCAAGAACATCAGCAATATTACTTGTCATCCCCCAATTTCAATGGGATAAAACAATGTGTCAGGGATTTGCATGCTTTATGAAGTCAGGCAACTTACCTTTGTTCCCCATAACAATTAAAAGCACAAACTATTTGCATAAAGATATAGGTAATACATAATGTTGTTTCACAGGGAACTCATAGACAATGCTATCCAACCTACACCAAGATGAAAAAACAAGAACGAAGATCTGCGTATATTGCTCATTTTAACAGATATATTAGATGGTGCACTGAGAGGCACTCCTCCTCAAACAATTTCCTTTTAAATTTCCTTCGTTTCATTTCATTGTAAGATGTTTCCAATCAACTGAAACCTTTAAACTACTTAAATTCATGATGGTCCACAGAAAAACATATCTCCTCTGACATGGAGCTGTGGAACCTTGTAGTCAGGGTGCAAGTTGAAGTTGACTAAAGAACAAATTCTCAGAGCACTAAGCAAACTCCTCAATCACACCTAAATTTCCTACCTAACCAGAAACCCAATCACTAGAAACTGGAGTGTCTAATAACAACTACCAAAATACTTAGAAAAGTACATATAGAGAAGAATAGTAGGCAATATTTAATCCATAACTAATGAAGACAAACAAATTTCAGATACCCTTTCTTCAGCCCCAGCCAACAATGCTTTCATTTTGCCTCCAACAAGTTTGTCCAAACCCAACCACTATTCACAACTGCATCCAACCCAAATTAATTAGCAATAGGTGGAGTAGCCCCTCAAGTCTACAAACCAAACTTGGACCAATTTAATCTTTTGATGTGGGATTAGCTCTCTTCACATCTCACCACGTATAAGTCGAACTCGCACGTAGGCTAAGCTTGCAAGGAAATGATACCTACAAGTTCATGCACACATCTAAGCCAAGAGAATGGTACCCCAAAGTTCATATACACACATCTAAACCATACTTTACCGATATGGGATCTTAACATTCCAACATGATTTTGTAACCGGATGTCTATGGCAACCTGCTCTATCAACAATAACCCAACGTTACCCATTTCCCTCTGGCAGCTCCATGCGCCTATCAGGAAATTCAATAGCTTACTACTACAATCATACGTAACACCCAGACATTTAAACTGAACATATAGGTCGCCCCTTTCGTGACTCAACAACATAGAGTCGTAACCCATATTGCACCCATGGGTCTACTTAATTTTTCAGTGTGTAGCTCTCTTCCCAGTACTTGCCAAATTATGATCTAATAAACCATGTACCTTCCAAAGCTTTAACCAAATCCTAGTAGCCAAATATCCATCCATGGAAGTTAGTTTTTTGGCACTTTCAAATTCTCACTAGATACCATAAAGTACTATAGAATTGAAATTTTTTTTATCCTCGACCCTTTGATTTAGGATTTGACACTTCTATTTCTAGCTAGGGGTAGGGAAGGAATCTAAATGGTAAAATATCATGGTGGACCGTGGAAGCCTATCGATTCAAGTCTGATTATCCCTAGACCCAATTTGAGTTTTCCTATTTTGATTTGCTCCCCATCCGTGATTGAGTGAAAATGTATAAGAGACTCATGGGACTGGGGTGAGGGGGAAGGGACAGTTATAATTCTAAAAGCAAACTCTGGATGAATATAAAGAGCATGCATACAATAGGGCCTGTAATGGAAGGCAATTTTGAATATGCTTTATCTATGAACAAAGAAGCTATATGTATGAAGAGTTCGATCCTAGCTCAAGATGAACGCTCCCAACTTGACAATATCTTCTCAATAACTAGCATATTTTCAAATCAATCAAAACTTTCTCCCTCCAACCCTCAAACATTTTGCAATACCATATAGGTGATAGAGATGTAGATAAAGATAATATAATTGGACTAACATAGACAACACAAGCATATGGAAACGAACATGTGTTGTAGAGTTCTTGTAAAATGCACACCCAATCTCTGGTGAATTATGGGTGTGCTTTAGTCTCTCACATCTTCAGTAGCTACTAGCTAGTCCCAAACGATGCAGAAAAGGATTGCACTAAGTAAAGCATAATATTGATAGATGTGACATGAAATTGAACCCACTAAATTGTATAGGCCTAAGAGAGAGAGAGATCATGAAATTGAACCCACTTAGTCGTATAGGATAAATAGAGATGATTTGATTAGCAAACATATCATTCTAAGGGAAAATTGCATATAATGAATGCTAGGGGTTGGCACTTAGTCGTATAGGATAAATAGAGATGATTTGATTAGCAAACATAACATTCTAAGGGAAAATTGCATATAATGAATGCTAGGGGTTGGCCCATAGCCATGTGCTATTTAACTTCTTAGCTTAGAGAATGTTAATTATCCTTCAAAATCAAAATGATTTCCATTGTGCTTCCAATAGCATTTCAATGTAATGTAGATATTCAAAAACCAGCACACGGACTTCAACAGAACCTGCATACAAGAACTGGAAAATAAAATCTAATGAAGTAATTTTAAGTATCACCAAAATCAGAGAAAACCCAATTCAAAATAACTTATAGCACAGGTAGTACATTTAAAGTTTAATTGACGTCAATACTGTAAAATTAAATCAGCAGACAGATATTTAAAAAGAAAAAAAATCAAGTAACATACAAGAAGTAGAAGAAAGCAGTGGGCGGTTTCTTGGGCTTCTTGGCGTCAATTTTCGCGGCTTTCTTCTTCGCCACCGTTTTGGGCTTCGTTCTTGACATGGGTTTTCTCTGCTTCTTCATCTTCTCCGTTGGCTTTATCCTCAACACCATTGTCCTGCAAAGTTTTCACTTTTTACCATATTATTTTTTGGGAAAATGGGTAAACCAGAAATCGTCAAACAAAACGAAAATAAGCTGAGAAGTTGGAAGTACTTTACCCATCAGTCTCTTTTGCAGGGCTGTTAGCAGAAGCAGAAGGAGAAGCTGAAGCTGAAGACGAAGCTAATATTCGAGACTTGGAAGGTCTCTTCGCCATGTTTGTTGTCTAACTCTCTTGAGGTTTGGTGAGTTTGTTTAGTGAGAGTTCGGCGCCGAGTCGGTCACCCGTTGGGTATGAGACTGGGTTACGAGTGTGTCAATTGACGTCTAAGCCCCTCAAGTATTTCACGGGTTAGGGGTGACAATGATTGTGTTCCGATTTATAAAATGATCGGATAGTTTTATTTTAAAGGGTTAATGTCACTTTGCCCCTTTAAAGATGCTTTGATTTTTAATTTGTATTATCACACATTTTAAATTTTAATTTATACCCTTAGGGAGTGTTTGGGTAATGAGGTGGGATAGGGTAGGTTTTCCTTTTTTATATTCTAACCAATCCAAGTCAAACCCACTCATCCACTTTAAAAGCCTAACCCAAGATTATATCCAATCATAATCTTTGTTTGGAAAATAAATGTATAATTTAGTGGGCATCATAGATTACACAAATAATTTTGTAGTAGTTTACCATTCTACCCATGATTCTATCCATTCCAATCCAAATCAATTTTATCCTATGTTTGGTTAACCCATCAAAACTTAATAAAATTATACATTTTTTCACATATACATAAAAACATATAAAAATAAGGAAAGTTAAATATATATATATATATATATTTTTTTTTTTTTTTTTTTTTTATTTTTTTTAAACAAATCAACGCTTTATTTTATTTCTTAAAAATTGATTACAATGGGAGAAAAGCAAACAACCTTTGCCTTAATATGTTTCGACCGGTGGATTATTTTAATAAAATTATATATTTTTCACATATACTTAAAAACATATAAAAATTATATATGATTTAGACCTCTTGTTAATTTTTTAGTTTTATTTCAATAGATAGTATAATTATATACTAATTACGCTTTTTTAAGAAATTATTAAATTTTTATTTTTAATTTCATATCAATAAATAATACAATAAAATATGAATTTTGATTGTAAAATAATATTTGATATTCTATGTTTGATTGAAATATTTTTAGTCTAAGTATAATATTTTAAATTTAAGGGATCTAAGTATTACGCGCGTATAAAGTTGAGGGAATTTGTGTTTAATATTGTAAATATCAGGGGATTTGAATAATCAAATGATAATTTTCAGAGGATCTAAATGTAATCCTTCCTAGATAAATCCCTCAAACCCAGAAGCCAGAACCTTCTGTCTGTCATTAATGGTCTGCACCTCCCATAAGCTTCAACTTTGCCTCTCTGCTTCAACAAAGCACCCGATTGAAGCTTAGTTTTATTCACACACACGTGTATATATATATATATACAAAGATTTTGAAAGATGGATATTGAACAAAAGCAAGAAAATTCTTTGATCGAGTACTTCATCAAGCAAGCTTCAGTATACAAAGGCTCTTCACTTTCCGTCTTCTTCTTCGTCTCTGTGCAACAGCCCTTGGACAAACTCTCACAGTGATACTTGGACGAGAGTGCCAGGAGAAAGAGAGGGGCAAATAGATCTGGATCTCCACAGTGAGCTAGATCTGCTTCCATCTTGGTTCAGAGAGAGAGAGAGAGAGACATACCAGAGACCAATAGCCAACAATGTCTTCGTCGCCGCCTGCATAGCCTTGAAATGAAGAAAGAAATAGAGGGTGTAGATAAGTAGTTACTATGCTTGTCCAGTTGGTTGGAATTTAAACCCAAGGGGGAGGTGGGTTAACTTTTATCCCATGTAGGAGGGGTAATTTGTACTGTAACAACCGAGTCAAGGTTTGACTCGGGATTGTTATCCAGTCTCAAAAAATGCTTCTCAAACAAAAGATTTATGGGACCCACAGTCTTAATAACCTATCCTTATAATGTTAACTCACCTTAACATACTATCCAAACACACCATTAATGTTATGAATTGGTAGTAATGTGGATCTTGCTCAAACTGCTGTTCAATTTTTTGTCATAAATTGAAACACGTGAGTTATAAGTATTTTCGATCGTGAGCTTGTGTATTAATTCAAAGACTGTTGATGTTTCACGTGAGTTACACGCGATAGACTTAATCTCTATTTAATTAATGAAACTTTATTTTCGATATATAAAATGATGTAAAATTAATCGCAGACGAAGATCTGCAACAATGGACACACTTCATCCTCAAGCTCAAAGTGCTTGCAACTTATATGCTTCAATTTATGATAAGAAACTAAACAACAGATTGGGCAAGGTCCGAGGTCCACATTATTACCAATTCATAAATGCAAATTAAAAATCAAAATATCATTTAGAGTATAAAATAAGATTAATCCTATTTTAAATTTTAGGATAAATCTTGTAAATGTCCCTTAAACTATAACATTTGTTTTTATATTGGTCAACTCATCCTTCAAGTATTACACGGGATTAGGAGCCACAATTATTAGGTTAGGATTTATCTAATGATCGGATAGTATTATTTTAAATTTTAGGATAGATTTCATAAATGTTCCTTGAATTATGAGCATTGTTTTTAAATTATCTATTGAACTTTTAATTTAAATAATTACACATTTTAAAGGGCAAATTGGGAAAAATTCAGGAACAATTTAAAACAAATGTCATAGTTTGGGAGATATTTATGAGATTTATCCTAAATTTTATCACCACAATATCATGTTCGTGTTCGTGTTCGTGTTCGTGTAGACATAAATATCTTAAAATTATATCTCAATACTAAGAAAAAAGTCAACCAAATCTGTACATAATAGTTCATTTATGAAAAATATTCCAGTAAAACCAAATTAAAGAACCATTTAATTTTATAATAATTCTTGCAATAAAAAATTCAATAGACTTATTTAATAATAGATATTTTCCGCACATAATAATAGAAATAGATTAATGAATTTTTCGTGTCAAAACCAAGTTATTTGTGGTTCATACTAACCCAATCTCTAATTTGCTTATCATTTCGTACTATTTTTAAGTTAGTATCAAATGTTCGAGTTGATTAATGTCTCAAGTCATGGTGAGAGCATCATAAAGCCTTAATTTGAGTAAACAAATCTTACTATTTTCAGGGTTTTTTTTAATTGTAAACTAAATAATATGAATTTTAATCACTTAAATATTCTTCTCACAAGCAAAGACATGTAGACAAAATGCACTCGTTACGGTTCGATGGTTGACCGCTATACTAGTTTAGTTATATCTGGTTATAAGAGGTGTTCCAGACGCGATCAAGGGCCTTATGATCTAACCGGTGAGGGCCTAACGGGTGGTCGTTGGACACTCTTCATTGCCCCCACCCTGTTTTTAACCAGCAAAAAACAAAAAAAAAAAAAAAAAGACAAAATGCACTATGGTGTCCTCTCTCCCCTAAGTCCATAGTAACAATAGATTTGTGCACTGGATTACTTATTTACAATTTTTAAAATCTACATTAGGTCTTATATGGAGCTTTTATTTAAATTTACTTTTTTTTTTTTTGGAAAGTGTTTTCACTTAAATTGTCAAGGTAAGAAAAAATATTATTTTGTTTCTAGGCATCTAAGAAAGAAAATGACCTTCGTCAAAAAAATAATTTATTTTCTTGAAATACTTATCGGTAAGGTTGCTTAAATAGTAACAAAAACGAGCTGTAAATTCAGACGTCTTGAGTTTAAAGTTTGACAATCCCTTGGAATTAGGTTATAAGGGACTTATCCCATATAAATACCTTAGTCTCGACGTAGGTGATCTGCCACTGACCGGACTGGAGAGACAATTAATCGAGATACGCAAAAACTAGTCTTGACACTTCTGACTATTGAATCAAAAAAAAAAAATCAATGTTAGTTATTGCCGAACAAGCATTGATGCTAAAATTATGTCTGTCTTTATAATTGTACATTGAGAGTAGCTAGTCTTACTTATATCAACCATTTACAAATGGATTGTACAATTGTATAATTAAGTTAAAGTTAGGGGTCATTTTATGAATTTGTTTTACTTTCAACATTTACACCTTTTCTCACAATCGATCACATGCACCGGCCACATACGTTCTTCATGTCAATTATTTATATACACATTTAAATTGGGGTCAGAAATGTCAAAAATACTCATTAGGGACCAAAGAGAGATAAAAAAATCATACTTTTATAGTTTTTAGTCGGAGCTGATGAAATTCAAACCTTAATGTGCATTATTTAGTAACTCTAGATTTATCATCAGGTTTAGACATTAACTACAAGAAATATACTTGAGAAATCATTAGTGTATTCTAGATGATGTATATCTTGTGTATTATGGCCCTGGACTATTTTTTTTCGGTTCAAAGATCAAGAGTGTTTAAATCAGTTTACGTGCACCTCAATTAATTTTCTCCTTGGTTCAGTCAAAGGCAGGTCATCCACGCGCGGGATTAGACTATTTATGAGGGATAAATCTCTCTTGGTCTAGCCCCAAAGAGTTATTAAAATTCGAATTTAGGAAGTTCGGATTTATAACTCGTTCATGTTATCACTTGACCTGCCTTTGAGGTTAACAAATTTTTTTAAAAGGGTTCAACACGAGGACCTTAAAGGATCACTCATCCTAGTACTACTCTCGCCCCAAACACGCTTAACTACGAATTTTTAATAGAATTTGGTACATTAATGTCGGTATAATCGCACCCAAAATAATAACTATTTTTCATATGATCTTATTGATAGCACACATAAGACCCACTATTTTACTCAATTTTTTTGATGTAATCCAAGCAACGATTAATAAATTGTAAAAGGTGACTAATCTTCTTGCATATTCTTAAAAATAAAAAATGTCACACGAGAAGTAACCAAACATTATCATAAGTCTAGATCCTCAAGTAATGTAGAGATTTTCTGCATAAAAATTTGTTGCTTGATGCACACAAAATTAATTTTTTTTAACAGTAAATGGCGAATGCCAATTTAATCGATTCCTGCATTATTGTGATGGCTGCTTCTTTAGGCTACAAAAAATTAAACTGAAAAATCAATACTAGTTGCTGTGAAAGAAGAGAATAGAGAAGGAATAGCAAATGTATATTATTTTTGTATATTTTATCATATGCATGAGGAGGTTGATTTAAAGTGTAAGAGAGTAGTGAGTGAGGCTTTCTAGTCTAATTGATGTGGGATAAACATATAAATATTAATATACCCCTCAAACTCAAGGTGGAATTGAAGAAGTTAACTGACGTTTGCAAACCAAATCACGGTGGCAACTAGGTGAATGAGCCTTCGTGAAGATATCAGTAAGCTGATCAGCCAAAGCAATTAGAAAAAGACGAAGAGTATCCCCTGTAGATGATGACGCACAAATTGACAATCAATCTCGGTTCGTTTTATGCGCTTATGAAAGACATTATTGTGAGTAATAGTATTATGGTGGCCACAATAAAGATCAAACGGTCCTTGCAGGATGATCGGGAGGTCGCTAGAAAATGGCAGGAGCAGATCAAAACGTCGCCGAAGGATCGCCAAAACAGTTTAGAACCTCACCAGAGCATAAGCGGGGGCAGATTGGATCCTTGTGCAATGGATGGCTAAAACAAATCGGAATGTCACTGAAGGATGGTCATAGTAGGTAGAAACATCGCATGGAAGATAGTCAAAGTACGTTGGACCGTTATTGGAGGATGGCCTAAGCAAGTTAGAACCTCGTCGAAGGATGGTTGGAACAGATTAAAATAACCAGGAGTGGTGCTTGGTAGCCAGTAAGGAAATTTTTTGTAGGTGCACATTAGAAATATGTGACCTAAAGAAGTGACAAATAATAAAGGAAGTCTGAAAATTTTCCTGCACATATTAAGGAAAGATTTATCTAAAAAATAGTTGTGACACCATATACAGAAAAGGGGTGCATACCACTATAAATACAGAGTAGAGCTTAAGTCTTAGTTACAAACTTCTTTCCTTACAAATTCGTTTACTTAGCCCTTACTAATTTGAATATTGATGTGTCTTTGACCGATCAATCCCCAGTTTCAAATAGTTTGCTCGTGTGTACAAGAGCATTTTTTTTTGTTCGCTCTCTCATTTAATCCCAACTTCACATTATCAACAATTAAAGATACAAGATTTTTTACTTGTACGAAGAGAAAGTTATAAATAAAAAGTGACCAACAATTAATAGTTGGGAGGAGATGAAGTGCCAATTGATTACAAAATGATATTATGTAGATTAGGTGAATAAGCAACCAACAAATTGATGGGGAGATGAAGTAGCAGTTGGTTAAGAATGGTGTTATGTAATTTTTTAAGAATACAATATGTCAATTAATCAAAAGTTGTGTTATTAGATAGAAATAGTTTTGGTTATCAAAAATTTGTCATAAAATTTAGACATCTATATAATATTATAGCTGCGAATTTAAATTCTCAACTATAGAAACATTGTATGATATTATAGATAGAACGTTGAATTCAAAACTTATAAAAACACAATAAAGGGATTGATCTAAGTTCATTTACTTTGATCAAAAAGTACAAAATTTATCCTAATTTATTTTCCACTCAAAAAATATTATTCTTTGCACATCCCTAATGTCACAAAATTCATTCTACACCGGACAATAACAAACAATCTCATTAATCTACTTATACCTCTTTCTTCTCTCTTCCTTTTTTTTTCTCTCTCTATTCACTTTATTTTAAATTATATAATTAAAAAAATAAATAAATTACATTTAAAATATAAATATTACCAATCAAATATTTAATTTTTTGAATTGTAGAATATCTTCAGATATGTGGTTATTACTAGTTTTATAATAGTATAGATGCAAATATAGATTTTATAAAGGTCTATGATTCCTCTTATGAAACATATGTAAATTACAAAACAAATCAAATAATTAAATACACATAAAAGACAAAAGACAAAATTATAGGCCTCCCAATCTCAACTAATTTTAACACTTGAAGACTTTTCTTAGAAAACCATCTATAACATAAACACATCGAGCTAGAAATCCATGAATAATTATTCATTTGGTCTTTTCACTTAAACTTTGTTATGGATTAACATCAATTTTCATAAGCAAAAGAAATCATATATCACAGGACAAAAAAAAAAACAATTGACAATGCCATCATAAATGTTCGAAGCAAAGCTTTTGTTGAATTTATCATATTTTGATGGGTAATTCTATGGTATTGGGAAAAAAAAGTTTGATATCGTACTAAAAAATATTATTTTTTGAAGTCGAGTTACACCTTTTAAAGGTGATAATAAATAACCTTATTAGTTGAAACTTTATCTTTAAAAGTATAACTTGAGCTCAAAAAATAACTTCATTTCCAAAAAATTATCAATTATATGATTTTTTTCAATTTTAAATTTTATATAAAAAATATATAAATTAATTTTTAAAAAAATATAAATATTGTTGCGGTATCAAAGTTTTATAAAATAAAATATATTGTTAACATTTTTATTTGATCGAGAATGTAATATGAGAATTAACCTATCAACACTATTGAGTGGGTGGCTCAGCGGGGGTATCAATAAAATTTCTCACCGAAAGTTTGTGTATTATAATTTACATCAGGACTCGGTGATTGACCGTTATACTAACCTAACTAAACTCATTATTAGAAAAGTAACGAACGCGGTCAATGACCTCATGATTCCACTAACGAACACGGTCGATGATCTCATTATCCAACCATGATTCAAATTTTAATTCAAGTTTAAATTAACATTTGAGTAAAAAATTTGATTTGATATAAAAAACTCTAATAGACAAACTCAAATTTAAAAAAGGAAAGACTTAAATTTAAATGAGGACACATTCAAATTTACATGAGAGTAAAAATGATCATTGAATCTTTAAAAGATGATAAAATTTGACCATTAAAAATTTAAGTATCTCTTAATTTGAGTTAAATTTTTTTTTTAATTTAATATAAATTTGAGTCAAGGGATAAAATAAATTTTTTAATTTTTTTTATTCAAATTTAAATTTAAGAAAGGTTCTGAGATGCTTTAAGCGTTCTTCTTTGCCCTCATTTTTTTTTTTTTTTTCAAAAAACAAATCACCGTATCAAATATTAAATTAAGAATGTTGGTCTTTTGAGTCATTTCTCGAAAATAACGAGGAAGACACGACCTTTCCAAACCACAATCAACAGCGTATCCAAGTGTATCTACCTATCTATCTACCTCTTGACACGTCCTGTTCCATCAGCCCCCATTTCCTCACCTCCGCATCGGTCTCATCGAATTCATCACCTTCCTCTCTGTCTCCGTCTCTCAAAAATACACACAGACACCAGAAAGGCACTAGCATTTTTAGCTCCACCATCATGCAAGCCCTTCAATCCCCACCTCTCCGAGTCTCCCCACTCGACCCACTTCGCAAGCAATCACCAAATCTCACGGCCACCAGAACCACAAAGAGAGTTTCATTCATCTCAGCCTCAACCCAACCCATCACAACTTCACCTCCCAAGCGCGAAAAAGACCCACAAAAACGGGTTGTCATCACCGGCATGGGCTTAGTATCTGTCTTTGGCAACGACGTTGACACTTACTACGACAAACTACTTAGTGGCGAGAGTGGTATTACATCCATTGATCGTTTCGATGCGTCCAAATTTCCCACCAGATTTGGTGGGCAGATTCGTGGGTTCAGCTCGGGGGGATACATTGATGGCAAAAACGATAGGAGGCTCGATGATAGTTTGAGGTATTGCATTGTTGCTGGCAAGAAAGCGCTCGAGGATGCTGATCTCGGTGGCGATAAACGTTCGAAGGTTTGTGAATTTTTTTATGTTGAATCTTTCGCTATTGTTTGATTGCCGGTTGTTCGATTCAGTTTTTGGTGGGTCTGTTGATTTTGTTGGGTTTGTGCGGTTTATGAGTTTTTGGTGTTGAATTTTGGAATTTTGTGTATTTGGCTTTACGGTTTTTGTGTTGCATCGTGGAATTGAGTGAATTTTCGTCTGTTTGATTGTGGATCTGAAGATTATTTGACTTGCTATTGATGGGGGAAATGAATATGCATGGCCTAAATGAAAGAGTTTGTTGGGTACTTCCGGGATAACATGCAGCGGCAAAATGTTTTGGGTTTGAATTTGTTACAGTTTTCCATGGACATTTGTGTTTATAGGTGTAAGATGCTTTTAAATTGTTGAGTTTGCCTGTAATAATGACTCCACGAGCCCAGAAACTAAGTGAGAAACTCACTTAGCTAATCTTGGGATTTAGACTGATGATTCAAAACTTGCTTGACATGCTCATTGGCAGTAATTGGCATCTTTGATGAAATCGATATTGTGAGAGTTTCCTCCAATAGTACTTGGATGGGATTTCTTTCCACAGATGGCCAAGAATCCCTAACATATTCAATCAATGGAAAATAAGGACTTCAACAACGAATGGCTTGGGGAAGAAGTGGTCCACACCTTGGTGTACATATTATTGATTCTGGTCTTGTACAACTGAGTCAAATCTGTAGTCTGGATTTTCATTGGGAGTGGAGACTTGCAAATATAAGTTTTTTATTTTACGAGAAAACTTGAGGCATAGCTTTCTTTATTATACTTTTATGATGAGTGTAGGCCTTGAGATAATGTGCAAGTATAAGGAAATAAAGAACAGCCTGCCCTGTATGTAAGCAATAAGGAGACTAAGTTGCGTTTCCACGCCCCATCTTGTTTATTGAAACTGGTTGCTTGCGCTTCTAATTTTGGGAACTTCTCATCACTGGTCTAGCCTCTCAACTTGAATTGAACACTGAAAGTTATTGCTGGGAGCAATATAAGGGATGATGTTTTTTGGGAGGTATGCATGTTCATGCCATTAAAAACTCTTCCTCTGCTCTTCTGTCATATTTTAATGTCTAGATGATAGATTTTTGGCCATTGGATTGTTTCTTTGATTATCTAAGAAGTAAGTTGAGCTTTCTTCTTCCAAAAACAATGAAGTACAGATGAACAGGAACACTGATTGAGCTTAAGTAATGATTCTTGTCGCTCTTAAGATGGCACATTTGGGTTCAGATCCTGGTAGGGAGTGCCTATTTTGTAAAAGCAACAAAAAGGAAAAAAGAAAAAAACATTGCAAAAGAAACATGGTGAACATCTTTAAGAAAATAAAGAAATTCACATATATACAATGATGACGTAGGACAGAAAAAAACTGATCAATTTGACCATTGAAGGCCCATATTAAATTAAAGTAAGTAAATATTGACATAAAATTCTGTGTTTTATAGGCCATAATTGATATAATGATGGCATTTTGGTGCTTATTAACCTAGCTATTCACTCTTATGATCTTGGCAGATTGATAAGGAGCGAGCTGGTGTGCTTGTTGGGACAGGGATGGGTGGCCTTACAGTTTTTTCTGATGGTGTTCAGGCTCTCATAGAGAGAGGTTACAGGAAAATCACACCATTTTTCATACCTTATGCTATTACAAACATGGGTTCTGCCTTGCTTGCAATTGACATTGGTTTTATGGGACCAAACTATTCAATTTCAACTGCTTGTGCCACTTCCAACTATTGCTTCTATGCTGCTGCAAATCACATCCGTCGAGGTGAGGCTGATATGATGATTGCTGGTGGAACTGAAGCTGCCATTATTCCTATTGGATTGGGAGGTTTTGTTGCTTGCAGAGCTTTGTCTCAGAGAAATGATGATCCACAAACTGCTTCTAGGCCATGGGACAAAGATCGAGATGGATTTGTCATGGGTGAAGGAGCAGGAGTTTTGGTAAGTTGGCACTGGCACAAGATTAAAATTAGGTTGTATATATCAAAGTCTTACTGGTGATACTTCAACCTACACTACTGGCTAGAATTTAATACCTTTTAACTATGCATGAAGAATTGCTGAGTGGTCCCTTCTGTTGCATGATTTGGACAAATATGCAGCCATGGTGTATTGCTTGGGTACACTATAAAGTAAAATTCTAATGGGAAGTGTGGACGATTTTTTAGGTTATCACTGGTTTAGATGAATTGCGGACTGGTCCTTTACATTCTTGTTGGTTGCTGGATTGCTTTGCATCTTCTAACTTGGGTCGTGCTCAAACAAACTCCCTCTTTCCTCGTCCTCATCTCTCTGAATTATAAATGGTTATAATGATATGAGGTTTTAGACTATGATAAGAACTTTCTGTGAAAATTTCTGGAACTTTTTGCAGGTGATGGAAAGCTTGGAACATGCAATGAAAAGAAATGCACCAATAATAGCTGAGTACCTTGGAGGTGCAGTAAATTGTGATGCTTATCATATGACCGATCCAAGATCTGATGGACTTGGTGTTTCTTCATGCATTCAGAGTGCCCTTGAGGATGCTGGCGTGTCACTAGAGGAGGTATTTGCTTCCTTTCCTCAAATCAACTTTCTTGTACCATAGCCTGTCTTTTCTTAGATGGTGTCATATCTTGGATACAGACAATTATTATAACTTAGCAATATAGGTTGTATGCTTGTTCTTTATTTCCAAAGCCAGATTAATACTCTCTCAAAAATGATGGAAATCTGATATCTGCGAATAAAGCTTTAGGAAAGTCCTTTTCATACATTCACATATCAAAAAGAGGGAACACTGAAGAAAGGTAGATTAAAACTTCTTTAGAAAGACTGAGTTTCACAGAGATGTTTGGGCCTCCTTATAGTCCATATGTCTCTCATTTCCCAAAAGAGTGTCCACATCCCTAGCTTGTGTCGTTGAAATCTTTGGCACTTAATTTTCAACCACTACTCCTTTGAAGCCACTTCTATCAACCTAGCCCAGCCCACCAAGTAACAACGTTGCAACTCCACCAATCATCTTTATTACCACCACTAGGCATGATCTCAATTTTGTTCTCTGTTGGTGGAGTTTTATAATGTTTTAGTCCAACATTTCTTCTATATCTAAAGAAATTAGGTCTTAAATCGCATGAATTTTCAAAAGTATTGGACGATCTCCTTAAACTCCAATTTTATCCGAACTAGGCATATGACTCCGATTCTACTAACAATTGCAAATGGGTCGCATATGGAGAAGGTTGGTCTTTGATGGTGTCCGAAAGGAAGCAGGCCTAATAGTATAGTAGTTGCATAAGCAGAGGTGGTGTTGCGATGTTTCCATTCTAGCAACACTAATGCAAGGGTGGCCCGATATATTTTGGGGCCTAAAACAGAAATAATAAATAAGATTTTTTTTAATACTAGTTATAAATTTATTTTTTATTTTTTGAAATGCAACTTAATGGAGGAAGGGGGGAGAGAATGATTGAGAAATTTGATGGTAAGTTTAAACTTGATTTTTTTTGGGGGGGGGTTAAGACTTAATTTTTAGTAGCTTTAGTTTTATTTGTAACTTTTTTCTTTTGTTTTCAAAATATTGAATTTTAGGATCTTAATTTCATGGGTTGAATTAATAGGTCTAATCCACTTAAGTTGAAATATTTTGTTTAAGCTTAAATCTAAGTTTTTTGTAGGGCCTATTTTGTATGGTTTCAAATTTTTTGTTAAGGCTAAAAATTATGGGGCCTTCCTTAGTAGGCCCTAAAGTCAAAGCTTTATCGACCTAGTGATTGGGCCGGCCCTAGGTGGAGATTGCTATGGTAAGTTGTTGGTGCTATCACCGAATATCCAATAGCGATCTCGATGATTGAGGTGTTGATTTGGTTGACTGTGGTTGCTTTGATGGTGAAGTAAATGCGGTATAACCCTAGGCACATAATCCTTCTAAACACTTAACGCTCTTGCGCTTCGCTCTCTCATTATACGAAATTTGTGAATCAATTTTTCAATTCGCGACTAATTCACGTTCTTACTTATATGTTTATTTATTATTACTAAAATTTATTTTTTAAGCAAACTCAAATTTTTATTTGAGAAGTACTGATCCAGGTCTGAAGATACATATTAAACTAGAATAATATTTATATACTACAATTGTCATTTTAAGACTTTAAAATTAACATATTTAAAATTTAAATAGTTTGTCTCATAGTTGTGCAAGAAATTTTAATTTTTTTATATCTTATTTATATTAAACTTTTAGGGGTGAGTATGTGTGTCTGTATGCTAATTTTAACAGCCGGAGCAGTAACTATGAAAATAACTCCCTCTTTAGTTAGATTATATGAACGAATGCTTGAACCAACATATGTTATTATTATGGGAGTATATGCCCTTTCTCAATGCATTACTTTAGACAAAGACTCATTTTTTTCTCTTTCGGATGAGAAATATTTCTCAGAACATGGAATGTGAATCAAACCCATGGTTAGACCAGATCTACAAGTGTCCTCAATAGTTTGTGTAGCCATAAATCCTATTTTATTTATTGAGATCTATTGACTTTGTATATCATTCCGTTGTAAATAAACGATCTTATCATAGATCCATCCTACGAATTTTAAGGTGTATGAAGTTTTCATTTTTGATTTTTAAGCAAACCGACAGAGACTTCATTTAATTTAGATTGAATCTAGGCTATGACGCTATCAAGGCGCTCCAGTTCTCAAATTTTTTTGAATGTTGACGCTTTTACACTTCTTCTCCCACCTTCACTCTATGTGATCTAGGTTATAACTGGCAGTCAAGCATGCCGTGTATTTTGACTGGGGCATCTTTAGCCATTGTGATTTTGGGTTCACGTTCTTGTGAGATTTGCTTGCTGAAAACTGAGGATTTGGGTTTCTACATTATGGATTCGTGCATTCTGGTTGTAGTGACAAAATTTTCTCATAGCATTGCTTAGTGTTTGTCCTAGTTTGCGAATGATGTAGCTTATGTTTTCATTTTGCCGACATTGTTTGTCCTACCTTTAAGAGGAAAAGTTTTTAAAAAACCCATATTTGGGAGTAATATTGAACACAATGGATCACACAGAACCCAATAACAAGTCACCATATATGCATGGTGTATCCCACACTTGTATATTCAACATAGTCCAATAGCTACTGCATGTGTATATGTGGGGTACATCATGCATATATGTTTCTTTCCTTTGGATGCTTATACCTTATATCATTGATGACGTGATGTCACTGCTGGAACAAAGATTTACTCCATCATTGGGCATTAAAAGCTATGAGAAACATGAATTCCTTTGCCTCTAAGGTACAAAGGTGATATGAAAATGTCAAAACTGCCAAGTTTCTATTCTCATGCTCGTAAACCAAGGAACACCCATGAAAAGTATTCATCTACAAACACATGAACCAGAGCATCCCGTTGGAAGCCTGACAAAATATAGCTCCGAGGTGGTCTCCACTATCTAGTAGCTTTTGACTCTCCTATTACTGATTATTACCTAAAAAGAAAATTTATTGTTGATGCACTGCCCATCAGAAAGCTCCTTTTGACACTTCAAAAGAGTCAGAGTTATGAAATTGAGATTCGTATCGAGAATTAAAATCCCAGATTTGAGAATCAAGAATCATATCGAATCAGAAAAGTAAGATTTGACACAAAATTCGAATAGTGATAAAAAATAATATGTACATATTTAAAATAGGTAATATATTAAATATTGAACATTATTGTATTTTAAAAAGAATCAATTGACGTGAGTTTTATATTTGGGGGTGGGCCCTTTTCTAGTAAAACAACGTTGATTTGACTATCTAACAGTCAAAACGACGTCTATTTACTAGAAGTATGGTTAAAAATAATAATAAAATGGATCATGCGATTCCTTCGAATTGAATCGAATTGTACGATTCCTGCGATTCAGGTGTGATTCTCAACCAAAAATGATTCCGTAATAAGATATGAATCGAATTGAATCATACGAATCGAATTGCAAATCATACAATTTTGATAACAATGGTTAGAGCTAGTACTGATTTTGCTAAAATTTGGATGGAATCGTATTGCAGTTTATATCACCATAAGTAAATGAATTAAACTTATATTCTTTGTCAGGTTAACTATATAAATGCACATGCTACTTCCACAATAGTTGGTGACCTGGCTGAGGTGAATGCTATTAAAAAGGTATTTAAGAGCACATCAGAGATCAAAATGAATGCGACGAAGGTTATCTCCCTGTCTCTCTTATTTGCGTTTATGCAGCATCCTTTTTTCTATAATTCCAGCTTTGAGGGGGCTGTGTACTCATATTGCTCTTGTAAGAAAACAATATATATTGATATTACTTTCTAGCAATCTTCAGATCCATGTTTTCTTCTCACTTTTATTGTTCTGTTTCAGTCTATGATAGGGCATTGCCTTGGTGCTGCTGGGGGTCTGGAAGCTATTGCTACAGTGAAGGCCATTACGACAGGGTGGCTTCATCCTACTATAAATCAATTTGTATGTGCTGCTTTGGATTTTACCAAGAATTGTTAATATCAGCGCACATAATTTTGTTATGATAATTATTCTTGTACGTTTGCTTGGACAATCGCAAAGGTTCCCAAGTTTCCTTCATAATTTTTCTATCTTTTCAGGAAGCATTATGCTGAACTGATTAGTACTCTTTTTTGACTACATAGGACCACGTTTTGATCATTTGCTTAAAATTTGCACTTAATGGATTCTGTTGAATGAATGCAGAATCCAGAGTCTTCGGTTGAGTTTGACACTGTTGCAAACAAAAAACAGCAGCATGAAGTGAATGTTGGTAAGATGCTTCGCATTTCCACCCCCCTCTCCTCCTTCTCTCCCTCCAAACCCTTCGCATCTTAATTGTTTGCTTTACCCATGGACAAAACTTTTCCAACGTGGACTTTATCATGATTTGCAGCCATCTCAAATTCATTCGGATTTGGAGGACACAACTCCGTTGTGGCTTTTTCTGCGTTCAAGCCCTGATCGAGTTGTCTGCATTTCTTTTAGCTGACAGCCATCACTGCTATTCGAGGATTGATTTAATTTCTCGTAGAGGCTGTTTCACTATCTTTTTGCAAGTTTCTGTTTTAGCACTTCGAGCATTTAGAGTTGTCACTGATGTAACTATTTTGGGTTTAACTCTAGATTAAGGACTCATGTTTGTTTTACCAAAAGATCCATTGGAAGTTGGAACCTATGAGGCTGTGTTAGGCACCGAATTCATCAAAGTTTTGAGTTGTGTAGTTGAGAGGGATACTGTACTTTGCGTTCAAGAACCTTCCATTGGCATTTGTGTTGCTGTTTGGAGCATTTTTTTTTATTTGAATCCGATAATGTAATATCAATAACCAGGTTATCTGGCATCTCAAATTTTGAAAAAATTGCTGCTTCCAAGCAATTCCATTATGTTCCAAGTGGATGTTTTTAGATTTTTTTTTTTTTGTTGTTGATTTTCATACTAAAAATTGTGAAAAGACAAGATTTGAAATTCGTATAAACAAAATAAGGTGTGTGGAATTACATGTAAATAATTATGAAACACGATCTTTAAGAGTGATTCAGTGGTCAATTTTATTTTTTTGTAATCAAGGGGTTTTAATTTTGATATTTTTCACGTCTTTTAAAAGTCGACCACTCTTGTTCTTTAGAATACATGCTTTTAAACTAGTTTGAATTACAATAATAAGTTCAGAGCTAGAGAAAATAATCTGTATAAGTTTGAATACTCTGTAATAGAAAAAATAATTATAAAATGCACGAAATTTACTTGGCGAATATTTGCTTGTGCTGTACCCTAAGCTCCTCCATCAAATCCATTTCTTCTTCTTCGCCTTTGCTGACTCTGTTGTGTGTGTGTGTGTGTGAGAGAGAGAGAGAGAGAGAGAGAGAGAGAGCTATTTTTCACTCTAATTAAAAAATGCTCCAAATAGAAACACAAATGCCACTGGAAGGTTCTTGAACCCAAAATACAGTATCCTTCTATCAAGAACACAATTCAAAACTTTGATGAATTTGGTGCCTAACACAGCCTCATAGGTTCCAACTTCCAATAGATCTTTCGGTAAAACAAACATGAGTCCTTAATCTAGAGTTAAACACAAAATTATTACATCCGTGACAACCCTAAATGCTCGACGTGCAACACCAGAAGCTTGCAGAAAGATAATGAAACAGCCTCTACGAGAAATTAACTCAAGCCTCAAATAGTAGAAATTGATGTCAGCTACAAGAAATACAGATAACATGATCAGGGTTTGAACGCAGAAAAAGCCACAACGGAGTTGTGTCCGCCAAATCCAAATGAATTTGAGATGGCTGCATATCATGATAAAGTTCAAGTCAGAAAAGTTTTGTCAATGGGTAAAGCAAATGATTAATTAAGGTGCTAAGGGTTTGGGGGAGAGAAGAAGGAGAGAAGGGGTGGAAAAGCAAACCATCTTACCAACATTCACTTCATGCTGCTGCTTTTTGTTTGCTACAGTGTCAAACTCAACCGAAGACTCTGGATTCTGCAATCATTCAATAGAATCCATTAAGAGGTGCAAAGTTTAAGCAAATGATCATAACAAGGGTCTATGAAATCAAAGTAGAGTACTTGGGAACCTTTGCGATTGTCCAAACAGGAGTAAAATGATAATTATCACAAAGAAATTACGTGCGCTGATATTAACAATTCTCTGTAAAATCCAAAGCAGCACATACAAATTGATTTATAGTAGGATGAAGCCACCCTGTCGTAATGGCTTTCACTGTAGCGATAGCTTCCATACCCCCAGCAGCACCATGGCAATGCCCTATCATAGACTGAAACAGAACAATAAAAGTGAGAAGAAAACATGGATCTGAAGATTGCTAGAAAGTAATATCAATATATATTGTTTTCTTACAAGAGCAATATGAGTACACAGCCTCCTCAAAGCTGGAATTATAGAAAAAAGGATGCTGCATAAAAGCAAATAAAAGAAAGACAGGGAGATAACCTTAGTAGCATTCATTTTGATCTCTGATGTGCTCTTGAATACCTTTTTAATAGCATTCAACTCAGCCAGGTCACCAACTATTGTGGAAGTAGCATGTGCATTTATATAGTTAACCTGACAAAGAATATGGAGAAGTTTAATTTGTCTACTTATGGTGTTATAAACTCCACTACAATTCCATCCAAATTTTAGCAAAATCAATACTAGCTCTGATTCTTTGAAGTATCAAAGGAGCTTTGTGATGGACGGTGGTGTATCAGCAATAAATTTTCTTTTTAAGCAATAATCAGCAATAGGAGAGTCAAAAGCTACTGGAGAGCGGAGACCACCTCATTGCTATAAATTGTCAGGCTTATGAATGGATGTTTTGGTTCATGTGTATGCAGATGAATACTTTTCCCGGGTGTTCCTTGGTTTACGAGCATGAGAATAGAAACTTGGCAGTTTTGACGTTTTCCTGTTGCTTTTGTACCTTAGAGGCAAAGTAATTCCTGTTTCTCACAGCCTTTAATGCCCAATGATGGAGTAAATCTTTGTTACAGCAGTGCCATTACATCATCAGTGATACAAGGTATTGGGCTCCAATGGCCAGAAACATATATGCATGATGTAACCCACATATATACATGCGGTAGCTATTGGACAATGTTGAATATACATGTGTTGGATACACCACATATGGTAACTTGTTATTGGGTTGTGTCAATGATCCATTGTGTTCAATATTACTCCCAAATATGGGTTTTTTAAAATTTCTCTTAAAAGTAGGACAAACAGTGTCTGCAAAATGAAAACATAAGCCTGACATAACCTAAATCATTCGCAAATCACAAACTAGCACAAACACTAAGCAATGCTAAGAGAAAATTTTGTGTCACTGCAACCAGAATACATGGATGCATAATAGAGAAACCCAAATTCCCTTTTTTCAGCTCATTTTGCTCAGTCTAAATGTAGCACCTTGACTGCCAGTTATACAATATTTACTTCACCACCAAAGCATCCACTGTCACCCAATTCAACACCTCGATCATCGATCTTAATTGCTACTAAATCTTCAGTGATAGCACCAACAACTTACCACAGCAATCTCCACCATCAGCATTGCTAGAATGGAAATATCGCACCACCACCTCTGCTTATGCAACTACTATACCATTAGGCCTGCTTCCTTTTGGACATCGTCAAAAACCAACCACCTCTATATGCAACACATTAACAATTGTCAGTAGAATCAGTGCCAGATTCCTTTGGGATAAAATTGGAGTTTAAGGAGATCCTCCAATACTTTTGGAAAATTATGCCAATTTAAGACCTAACTTCTTCAAATATGGGAAAAATGTTGGCAAAAACCATTATGAAACTCCACCAACACAGAACAAATTTGAGATCATGGTTGTGGTGGTAAGAAAGATGATTGGTGGAGTTGCAATGTTGTTACTTGTGGTGGGCTGGCCTAGGTTTGATAGAAGTGGCCTCAAAGGAGTATTGCTTGAAAATGAAGGGCAAAGATTTCAACTATACAAGCTAGGGACGTGGAGACCCTGTTGGGAAATGAGAGACATATGGACTACAAGGAGGCCCAACTATCTCTGTGAAACTCAATCTCTCTAAATAAGTTGTAATCTCCCTTTCTTCAATGTTCCCTCTTTCTGATATGTGAATGTATGAACAGGACTTTTCTGAAGCTTTATTCACTGATATCAGATTTCCATAATTTTTTGGAGAGTATTTTTCTGGCTTTGGAAATAAAGAACATGCATACAACTTATGTCGCTAAGTTCTAATAATTGTCTGTATCCAAGATATGACACCATCTAAGAAAAGACAGGCTATGGTACAAGAAAGTTGATTTGAGGAAAGGAAGCAAATACCTCCTCTGGTGACACACCAGCATCCTCAAGGGCGCTCTGTATACATAAAGAAACACCAAGTCCATCAGATCTTGGATCGGTCATATGATAAGCATCACAATTTATTGCACCTCCAAGGTACTCAGCTAGTATTGGTGCATTTCTTTTCATTGCATGTTCCAAGCTTTCCATCACCTACAAGAAAGTTCTTATCATAGTCTAAAACCTCATGTCATTATAATCATGTATCACAGAGACAAGGACAAGGAAAGAGGGGGTTTGTTCGCGCAATGCCCAAGTTAGAAGATGCAAAGCAATCCAGCAACCAACAAAAATATAAAGGACCAGTCAGCAATTCATCTAAACCTAGGCACATGACTGGAGATAAGTCCCACTTTGCGTATTGAAAAAGTGTAGTGGTGGGATTGTCACATTTGGAGACGGAAGTGTCTCCAAGGTTGTTGGAAAAGGTTCCATTCAACCATTGGGCATTCTAAAGTTGAATAATGTCCTCTATGTGGAAGGGTTTAAAGCTAACATTATCAGTATTAGCCAATTGTGTGATGATGAAAATGTTATAATCCTAAAAAATTGTCCACACTTCCCATTAGAATTTTACTTTGTAGTGTACCCAAACAATACACCATGGCTGCATATTTGATGTATACAACCCAATTTTAATCTTGTGCCTGCCCCAACTTACCAAAACTCCTGCTCCTTCACCCATGACAAAGCCATCTCGATCTTTGTCCCATGGCCTACAAGCAGTTTTTGGATCATCATTTCTCTGAGACAAAGCCCTACAAGCAACAAAACCTCCCAATCCAATAGGAACAATGGGAGCTTCAGTTCCACCGGCAATCATCATATCAGCCTCACCTCGACGGATGTGATTTGCAGCAGCATAGAAGCAATAGTTGGAAGTAGCACAAGCAGTTGAAATTGAATAGGTTGGTCCCATAAAACCAATGTCAATTGCAAGCAAGGCAGAACCCATGTTTGTAATAGCATAAGGTATGAAAAATGGTGTGATTTTCCTGTAACCTCTCTCTATGAGAGCCTGAGCACTATCAGAAAAAACCGTAATGCCACCCAACCCTGATCCAACAAGCACACCGGCTCGCTCCTTATCAATCTGCAAAGAACATAAGAGTGAATAGCTCGGTGAATAAGCACCACAATGGTGTCATTATATCAATTATGGCCTATAAAACACGTAATTTATATCGAGGAAGCCCACGAAGATATGCATATGTATACACATGCAGCAGCAAAATCAGTAGCTATATCAAGCCAAAATAATTGATGTAATTGCACCAAAATGCACAAAATGTCAACATCCCCAATAAATAGTTAACCTAGAGAGCTATAATTAGTTATTTTTTTTGTCTATATTTACTTTAATTTAATATGAGCCTTCAATGGTCAATTTGGCCAGCTCTTTTTCTTTGTCCATCTTTGTATATATCTGAATTTCTTTATTTTCTTAAAGATGTTCAATATGTTTCTTTTGCATTGTTTTTTTCCTTTGTGTCACTTTTACAAAATAGGTCTCCCTACCAGGATCTGAATCCAAATGTGCCATCTTAAGTGTGACAAGAATCATTACTTAAGCTCAATTGGTGTTCTTGTTCATTTGTAGATCATTTTTTTGGAAGAAGAAAGTACAACTTCTTAGATAATCAAAGAAAAGATCCAATGGCCAAAAATCTATCATCTAGACATTAAAATATGACAGAAGAGCGGGGGAAGAGTCTTTGATTGCATGAACATGCATACCTCCCAAAAAACATCATCCCTTATATTGCACCCAGCAATAACTTTCAGTGTTCAATTCAAGCTGAGAGGCTAGACCAGAGATGAGAAGTTCCCAAAATTAGAAGCGCAAGCAACCAGTTTCAATAAACAAGATGGGGTGTGGAAAGGCAACTTAGTCTCCTTATTGGTTACATACTGGGCAACTATGAAACACGGATTCTTTGTTGAGGTTGACGTATCTGTATTGAATACCATATCAGATACGACATTTGTCAGATATTTGATGATATGTATCGGATACACCTCATGCGTATCCGATAATAATTAAATATATTTCACGAATTCACATATCACATATCCTTTCGAATTCACATATAATACAATACATTACCAAAAAATCGTACTACTTCAAAGGCACATGTGTATTTTTTAAATATTATTTACAATTACATGTCAAAAGAGTATAAAATAAATCTATTATGTTATAGTCTGAGTAAAAATTACTTCTAAATAAACCGACTCGATAAATATTAGTTTTGATTCCTTTAATTAATCACTTCATTTTGTGAATATACCATAATGATATGATATATATTTTCTTGAAACTAAAAAGAATTACTAATTTTTTTTATTGTATTAAAAAATTATCAAAATATATAAATATTAAGTTGGTTAAAAATAATAAAAATATTTTATTATAAACGTATATTAACCGTACTCATATCCTACTGTTTTAAATTTTATTGTATCACCATATCTGAATCATATCGTACTCGTAACCCGTATCCATATTTGTGCTTGCTGGGCCGGCTGTTCATTATTTCCTTATACTTTCACATTATCTCAAGGCCTACCCTCATCATAAAAGTATAATAAAGAAAGCTATGCCTCAAGTGTTTTCGTAAAATAAAAAAGCTTATATTTGCAATTCTCCACTCCCAATGAAAATCTAAAATACAAATTTGACTCAGTTGTACCAGACCAGGATCAATAATAAGGACACCAAGGTACGGGCCAAGACATTCATTGTTGAAATCCTTCTTTTCCATCGAGCGAATATGATAGGGATTCTTGGCCATCTGACCCATCTAAGTAGCTATTGGAGACTAACAATGTTTTGATCTAATGGTATTCCCTACCTTCTTGAAGTCAAGGGTTAAAATTCCTTTTTTCCATCCCTCAAAGTCCCCCCAAAAAAAAAAAAAAAAGAAAGAAGTACCTATTAGAGGAAACTCTTACAATATCTATTTCATAAAAGGTACCAATGACTGCCAAATGGGCATGTCAAGCAAGTTCCGAATCATTAGTCTAAATTCCAAGATTAGCAGTCCCGACCTCTTATCCTATCAAAAAATTCAATAAATAACTAAACAAATAAAACAATTCTAACAACATTAACCCTAGACCTCGTGTTGAGATCATCTTCCTTGATCATTTCATAGTGAATTTCTCACTTAGTGTCTGGACTCGTGGAGTCATTATTATAGGAAAACTCAAAAGCCACTCTTCAAAAGTCATTTCTTAGAGCAACTCCGACCCACTCTTCAAAAGCCATTTCTTAGTCATTTTATCGAACCCAACACCAAAATAACCTCTCCAACTCACTCTCTATCCCATTCTCTATTTCTCATTTCATCAAAAAGGCTCTCCAAATCTGCCAAGCCCGTCGGTCTCGCCAAAACGCCCCTCCCTCCCCTATGCTGAGAACTCTATTGGATTAAATTGATTTAAATTTTAGTTTAAATATGACCGTTAAAAATATGGCGATGACGTGGTAGGCTACGTGGTATTTTTTATTTAAATTATTAAAAATTAATTAGCTAAAATAAAGAGCAAGGTCAGAATAAACTTAAAATATAGAGTTGGGTTGGAATTGCTCTAATACCTATAAACACAAATGTCCACAAATTCAAGCCCAAAACATTTTGCCGCTGGTTGTTATACCGGAAGTGCCCAACAAAATCTTTCACTTTGACCATGCATGTTCATTTCCCCCATCAATAGCAAGACAAAACAATCTTCAGAACTGATGGTGTAAACCGAATTGTATGAGTAATGAATCGTAATTATACTTTGCAGTGATGATATAGTGATAATGAAAGAAATATTTTTCTAGGGGCTGGGAGGATTAACATAGAAGAAATATAGTAGTTCACCAGTTCGGGAGCTCGGTTAATCCACTTTTTAATGGAGACTCTTGCTCCTAATCTTTCAATAGTGATGATTGCAAGAGTACAATGACTAGTTTTTACCTCTAGGGTCCTCCCATCTTTGGGGGCGTTACATAGTATTTATAGGGCTGTTCCTTATTCAGTGAGATCTTGGCCGAGATTTTTGCCCTTATTTCGTGGGGTTCTCCTTAATTCTAGGAGAAGATCTTGATTGGTTGAGATTAGGTGCCTTGATTATAGTTTTCTAACGCTTTAGGAACCTCTCATGATTATCCAGCCGTTGCCTTCTGACCTTAGTTAATATGGCTGACCTCCCGGTCTGAGTTGAACTCCTGAGCTAACACTTGAGATTTACTTTAGGTATCATCAGTTGCCCCCCTAGCCCTTGGCCCAAGCGAGCTTAGGCATGGGCTGAGCTACTTTCGCATTGGACCAGGCCTGCACCTAGCTGACCTTAGTCCACATGTGAGATGCACGTGGGGAGGCTCTTTGACGGTTTACAGCAATCATGGCTTCCTCGATTCTCGTGCATGTTTCAGCCCACGTTACTCAAGTTTTAAATGCTCAATCGACTGCTCAAAACTCCCTGTTCATCTTCTACGCTATTTACCTTTGTCTCCGGCTCTTTCTCTCTGCAATTTCTGGGTTTTCCTCCACGCGATTCTCTTATTCTCTGCTCAAAACTGTGCTTTCTGGGTTCGACTCGAAGTTCTGCTTTGCTCTTCTCCTCCAATTTTGTTCTTTGGCTGCTGTTTGTTGCTCTCTTCCCTGTCTAGGTACGCTTCCTTCTGCCCCTTTCTCTTTCTATTGCCTTTCCTCACTCAGGATCCCTTGACTTCGAGGTGGCCATTATTTTTATGGGTTTTTCAGTTCTTTTTCTTTAGGAATCGCGATCGTTGCCTATCTCCTCTTCCCCGCTTTGTGGATTGGAACTCTACTGTGTGAATTCTTACTGTCGGGAGGTACAGTGCTAACCCTAGGATTATCAGGGGGTGTTTAGTTAGTATTCCTCATTTTTATAATTCTTTCGATTTGCCTTTCTCTTTGCTAATCATGTCTGCCTCCTCTGGAGCAACTCCCTCCTCTGTTTCCCTCCTAGGCGACAGGTCTGCCGAGAGAGATTCTGATTTAGGGGATGTAGGTGATGAGATTGACAACTTCCCCAGTGTTGAGGCTATCGATACCGAGGTGGACTCCAAGGAACTCCTCTCATCTTCCTCTCATGTACCTCCTAGTGCTGACAAGGATAAGGGCAAGGTGAGTGAGGTTAGGATTTCTGATAGTACAGCGGGTATGGGGGCTGCCTTCAGGCATGTTGAGCTCGTGGGTCCCAATGGAGTGGATCCTATTCTCATGGAAACTCTTAGTGCTCGTTTTGGTTTTTTCCCTGGTGTTCAGCCCTGGTGCCCGAATAAACTCACCCCATACGTTGCCCACGTGCACAAAAGAGTTTGTTTCTTTGTGGCTGCTTTCAAGAATGACCTTCGTTTCCTTATGCACCCCTTCATAAAAAATGTTGTGCAGCACCTCAATGTTTGCCTTGCTCAGCTTTCTCCTAACGTATAGGGTGTTTTAGTTGGTCTTTTAGTTTTCTTTAAGAAGCATGGGCTGGGGACTCCCACCATTTCTCTGCTTATGGACCTTTTCAATGTCAAGCTTACCTCAACTGAGGGCTTTCTATATGTTTCTAGGCAGACCTCGTCTAGGCAGATCATCACACACCTCCCGAGTTCTCATAAAGGCTGGAAAAAGAATTTCTTTTTCGTTGGGGGTGTCAACTGGGAATACAACCCTGCTGATAAAACAGACACTATTGGGATTCCCAGAGCCTGGTAAGCCCTAGATAACTTAGGTGAGTTCTTGCCTGACTGAACTACGGTTTGAAGATTTATGAGTTGTTTTCCTGACCTCTGCATTTTTGGTGTTCCCCCTTTCTTAGGCATTCGACCTGAACTCAGCGCCGAGGACAAGCGGGTGAAACTGAAGTTGGCTAAGTGTAATCCAGAGAGGTACTCTGAGCTCCTTAAGCCCTGGAAATTAGAAAGGCAGGGATTCAGTCCTCCTCCAATCCCACTTTCCTTTATCCGACCTGAGGACATAAAAGATAATGCTCTTTCCCTTATTTGGTTTTATTGTTTTCCTCCTTTTTTTTTTTCCTTTTGACTAACCAGCTCAAGCCAAATCTCCCAGGGTCTTCTACAATGAAGCCTATCCCTGAGATGCTCCAAGCTAAGGTAGAGCTATTGAAGAAGAAAAACAAGGGTGGTACCAAGCGCAAGGCTGAGGGCAGTTCTGGTGGGAGCCCAGTTACTCGAGCTAAGGTTCAGAAAATGGGTACTTCCTCTGCCTCTGCCTCTATCCAGAAGGCTCCACCATCCCCCTTACATGCTTCACCAACCTCAGGACTTCCTCTCCCCCAAGGGACCCGACCTGCCACTGAAGATGCTCCTGGGCGAGACCAGTCCTCCCCTTCTGCATCTGAAGTTGAAGGGCCCTGGAGACTGCTCGCACTTTCCCTGGTCGTGCTGCTTCTGCATCAACCAAGGAGACCTCCCAACATCTCATGACAGGCAAAGGGGTCTTCTCGAAGTCTGAGAATTCTCTTATTACCGATGTGAAGCGTGCTGCAGAGGCCATTGCCTCCATTATCCCAGAGTCTGACATTGATGCGGCCACTTCTGTATCCCTGGGAACCTGTGTTTCCACTGCGCTGTATGGCTGTACCTCGGTGAGATTCTAATTTGTCAAATTCTCCTCTTTTTTTTGGTTGTCTTGTGCTCTTCCCTTTACACTAATCTTTCATGCTTGTCTTCAGACCGCCATTCAAATAAGCAGCTTGTTAAAGCGAATCCAAGCCCTAGAGGGGTCGGTCAATGCTTCCAAAGCTTTTGAGCTGAAGTGTGCCAATCTGGCCTTTGAGAATAATGACCTTAAGGTCCAGGTAAAGGAGTTGCAAGAGCAAGTGGAGCAACAGTCTTCCCTTGCCAAGTCCAGACAAGAGGAGCTCAGCAAGACTAAGGAAGACCTCCGGTCAAAAACCGATGACTGGATCGAGGAGAGCCAGAAGTTCCTTGATGCTCTGGCTTCCTTCAGGAACATGAAGAGGGAGTACGAGGTGCTAGCAGAGGCCAATGATGCTGTCAGGGAGGAGTTAGGGGCTGCCAGAGAGGCGCTGGAGGTGCGAGACACTACCATCCAAAAAAGATGAGCTGATTGCCCAGCTAGAGGATGACGTTCTCACCAGGTGGGCAAAAGGGTGGATTGCTTTCCAGGGTATAGCTGAAAGGACTTACCCTGAACTGAACTTTGACTTTTCAATTCCCCCTGAGGAAGAGGCCGAGGGGTCTGATGAAGAAGAGGATGATGCTCCTGCTCCTCCTGTTTCTGAAGATGTGCCCATAGACTCTGGAGGGCTCATTCCTCTAGTTGGGACTTCAGCTCAAGATGCTTCTGCCTCCTTAGGCATCTCTACTCCTCTGGCTGCTGAGCCTGCTTCTTCCTTCCTGCTGAGCTGGCCACAAGAGCCTTGGTTGAATCTGAGGTCCCTGCCTCTTTGCCTGCTCTTGGCCCTCCTGAAACTTCAACTGTTGCTGTGCCAGAGAGGTCGCCTGCTGAGCTGGAGAGCCCTTCTTCCATTCCTCGTGCTGAGACATCAGCTACTGCACTGCAGGGCCCTTCATCTACTCTCCCTTCAAAAACTTAGGATTTGTAGCTTTGGGCTAATTATCTCAGAATTGTAACATTTTGAAACAAAATTTCAGAATTGTAGCATTTTGTATCTTTAATTTACTGCTTATAGCTCTCCTTCTTTCCCTTTGCTTTTAATTTGTTGCTCTACTCTACCATCAATCGAATATGATATTCCTCAACTCTTTGCCCCCTTTGCTTCAGGGGGTCATTCAGATCTCCTTGAAGTA